GGACAGTCCACCACCACCACCCACGAGTCAGCTGGAGATCCGGCACCGGCGCAACGGACTAGTCGGCAGAGATCTCCCTCTAGGCAGGCAATAAGCGTGCATCTTTCTCGTTGAACATGGTCGGGGCTAGTCCCAACTGACGATAGAGCACTCCGAGCAATATTGGCGAGGTGGTATCCGACCCCCCTGCTGGCTGCATTGGAGCTGCTGCGTGGAAAGGCTTGGCTCGCCAGAAGAACGTGGAGAAGACGCTACTGACGAGCACTGGGACACTCTCGCACAATCGAAAACGCAGGGGGACGACTACACTCCATGCACATTGGCAAAGACTTGACTGGGGGGGATGTCGGATCGTGAGCGACCGCCGAGCGAAAGCTCACTGATCCATGAGCACCCATCTCTTCAAGGGAGGGGGGGCCAGTAAGTAGGTATGTATGTAGGTATGTATGTATGTATGTATGTGTGTGTGTGCGTGTGTGTGTGTGTGCTAGGGACGTTTAAGTCCAGTCGACTTGATGAGATTGCCGAAGTCTTTAGCGCTCGAAGTTGGAACGGCCATTGGGGAAGTCAAGCACAGCAGCACAGCAGACAAAGCCCGTCGCACCAAACGCGAATCCATCTATCGCGCGCCCATAACGACAATTATCAAATCAGTAATAGCGGCATCTTGCTTTTATGGCTCGCCCGTCTGTCGAAATCTACACTTAAAACTTTGGTCATCAACAACAAATACTGCACATAATGAATGAGATGCCCGGCAAGCCGTAGTACTTTCCCATCCCATCCCTTGCAATGAATGCCAAAAGCTGTAACATGTGGAAGAAGAAGAAAAAAAAGTCAAAAAACACCCTTTTGCAGTGGGTTCTCCACATCCACAAGCAGCCGCACACTGGCAGGCAGGTACTGAGGAGAGAGAGACTTGCCGACCTGCTGCGTTGCTTTCGGATACCACTTCATCATCATCGTCATCATTTATTATCAGGAGGGCCATGCGCGCGCTGATATGCGGAGCTTGGGTATGAGAACGTGCAAATCGAAGCCTCAATTGCTGAGCACGCAGAGCTAATGATGGAGCTGAGAGAATAATGATCCCTGCACAGTGCGCATCTGGAAAATGACGATCCTTACACATCTTCTCTTCTGCATACCTCATCTAGTGTAGCTGGCATGGATTGCATCAGAAAGGAAAAAGCGAGCGAAATGCAGGCGTGTATGTAGGTACATATGCGCGCACAGACTGGCTTGCCCAGAGCGAGGTCTGGTCTACATCTGGATATCCTACAATCACAGTTATTCAACTACACACGTCTTATTTCACGCCATACCTAGTATACATATAAACATGACAGTACATGAGGTAAAATCAAATTGCGGAAGGGAGAAAAAAAAAATTCCAAGGTAGTCTCCTTTTGAAAGTCAGTGGCACTCCACAACGCCGTGGCTGTCGCGCCCGATTCTACCCTTCTGACCAGGGACATTACCCTGACTGCATTGACATGACCGCCCAATGTGTTGAGCTTGTTGTCCAAGGAATCGGCGTTTCCAGGTATTGATAGGTAGGGGTGCCAAGAAAAGGAAAGTAGCCATGTATTCAATGACAGCCTGTACCCAGTATAAGAGCGTCCAAGGGTGGCCCTGGAACAACGCGTGTTGGAACAGCTAGTGGGAACAGCCAGCCAGCTCCCAATGGCCATCAGTACTGATCTCAGGGGGGGGGTCCCAATGTAACTCTCCAGGATGCGGATTACATATTCTACCACTGTGTAGTCTATATGGAAGAATAGCCTACGATTCAGTCAGGGAGCGTAAGTTATTGTTGTTCTCTGTGGCCATGGACCAGCCAGCTAGCCAGACGTCCAACATGTGGGCCAGGGGACGTCAGAAACAGACAGTGTGCACTATGTAGTCTACGAAGTACCTACCACGATCATGCCATTTAATGCTGATCTCAGTTCAGACAGCGCACCCAGGCATGAGGAGGAGGAGGAGGAGGAGGAGAAGAAGAAGATAAGGACACTGAATAGAGAAAGAACTAAAAACTGCCTCAATGCATGGCATATTGGCATGAATTTGCACTTGGTAAAAGAATATCCCATCACTATCATCAGTTGTCATTATTTTGAAATCTCCATGAGGGAGCGCTCGCTACAAGGATAGAACAGGCATTCGGTGTTCCTTTGCCCTGGGACCTTCGATGAATATTTGCTGCTAAGCCTCTCTCCTTATCCACTTTTCTTTTTGGGACGCGTTTCTGGCATTTGGGAATCGACCGACCCTCACCCACGGTGGCCATGATGTAAATGTATTCATGCTGTCCGAATTACTGATTCTTCCCCCTCCCTCCCTAAAGTCCACTTGCACTAGACCCTACCTACGCCTGTGCGTGCGCCCACTCAACCACTGCGCCCAAAGCTGTCTCCACATGCAGCAATTGTGGATTCGGGGGTTTTCAGGCGAGGATTGGAAGAGGAGAAAGATTCGATCAGTCCCAGCAAAAACTGTATCAGCAAGAGCAGATCAGATCCCTTCTTGTGACAACGAGGCGGCGGGCGTAATCAATTGCCTACATCAGCCCCAGCCCGCAATTCTGCTCATCAGGTCCCCTTGGGATGTTTCTCGTCGAGTCAAGTCACTCATTGATTGATTCAGCACCAATGTAACTCGGTTCGAGACTGCCAACTTTGTACTTTTGCACCTCAATTTGCATTGCATTACATACATTACTTACACGCGGCGTTGACAGCATACCAAGAGGTACTTACTTGCAAACAAACGCATGTATTACGTGATCTCGAATAATGTAATAAGATGCAAATGAGTACCGTACGCGATGTCTCCCGAGATGTCATTGATCGATTCCATCCCATTCCAGACCAGCAACGAACCATTTTGCAGTGACCCAGCCAGCGGTAGGTCGGCCGGCAGCTGCGGAGATACCTACTACCTGTACACCTTGTCGTCCAGAGCACCTTTGTTCAAAAAAATATTATTATTTTATACAATTTAACGATACCTGCCTAGCTACTTGTCGGGCCCAAGTACCAGGTACTTTCTGCGCACTGTCCACACACGTAAACACAATTGATCTCTCAATCTTTTCGTACGCCCGTCCACCTCAACTTTTTTTTTGTGCACGCACGGCAACAGAGAGAACGTAACGCGCCTTGCCTTGACCTATCCCATTGCCGCCCAAAAGTTTTTTTTTTTTTTTTTTTTTCAATCCGGATTCTTGGGGAGGCGCAATCGCGTTTTTTCTCCCCCTTCGCCCAACTTCTTCCCCTTTCTCCCACTCTCAAAATTTGTGTGTGTGAGAGGAGAGGAAAATTTTCTGAATTCTTCTCTCGCGTCTCTTTTCCTTGGAGGCCGATAAAAAAATCAAAACAACGCGTTCGTTCGTGTCCGCATTCACCACAAACAACCAAAAAAGACCGTGCCAAAGCTGCAGCGCGAACCAACGAGAGAAGGTTGCCTTCAGTCTACCAGTTCTTCAACCAAAGAAGGGCACTATTACTACCACTACTCGACTTACAATACCTCGCTCTCAGTACCGGGTACTAGCGCGTCGTAGACCGAGTCGCCAAATCAAATCAAAATCAGCTCGCGCACGTACTGGGCTAGAGTTGGGGCTAAATCCTATTTCACCTAGTCTCCAGCGAGCTCTTTAACAGAGAGTGAGAGGGAGAGAGCAAGCAGCTTTTACTGTATAAGACTTTGTCGTCTTGTCTTCACCCCCCCTTCGACATCGTCATCCAGCTCTCCTAGTCCGCACTCCGGGCCTGCCCAATACCGCCGGCTGCACGTCATCTGCCCTTAGGCCCAGAGTGAACAGAGTCAGTCACCCCAAGAAAGGGTCGACTCTCATAAGAACATCGCGCCTGCTTGTCTGCTAGCATCTGAGTCGTCACTGCACTAGCTCCAAAGACTAAGCCAACTCGGAAAGACCTGAGCATCTACTGCGCTCATCTTCCCACTCTGCGCCTAAGGCCTTCTCTGCTGCCCATTTTTTCCCTATTTCCCATCCTCAGCACTATCGTCGACGTTGCCGTCTGGCCTCGCGACTCATCCCCACCTGAGCTTGGGTACCTCTCTCTCTCCCCCCCTCCCTGTCCTTAACTGGAAAGAGATATCATAAGATAGAACTCAACAACCAGAAGGAATTGTCTGGCATTGCGAACGGGGAACATTTTTGATTTCCATCAAGTCGCGTTGCCACCCGGTCATTCTGAATTGTTTGATTTTTATTTTTCCGCACTTGCATCCGTGGTCGTTGATACTGCCACCACCACCACCATCATCCACCATCCACCACGCGCTACAACTATACTTGACCCAACACACACACACACACATTATACACACCACCCACCACCACGCGACGCAACAGACATACGCCAGCGCTAGGACTTAGCCTCGACGCTACTCGCACCGGACTAGCTCCTGAGAAACCGGGTATTACTCGTACTCTATTTCACCAAAGCCAAGGCTAGTTGTCTGATGCCCGTGATCTAGGAGGGTCATCTCATACTGCACACTGGTACTCTCCTGGCACCAACACTATCTTGGCCTGGAAATAGGGTGGCTTACAGATTCAGTGGACTTTGGTGGATCCCCCCGATCAGGACTATTTCATCCAACCAGACCCTTGGACCTTTCGACGAGCCTAGGAGATCCGCGCTACTTTGTCTGGATCACCCTTCCCGTCGTGACCAGACTGCCGCCGACAAATACGCCAGTCCCGCCAGCCGCAGCTTGACTTTTGTCCTGGTGTAACCACATTCTACTCTACACTTTAAACCAAATACACTTCCTTTGCACATACATATAACATCACAAGCATACTTTGCTTGTCTACCCTGTCTCCCTACCTACCTACCTACCTACCTCCCACCCGTCGTTGATCCGATCCGACCGACCTGTGCTGTCTGCCCGACTGGCTTGAAGCAATTACCATCCCGGCCGGCCGATTTTTTCCTTGAGCAACACACCTTGGACTCCGTAGCATGTACTTGAACGGCGCTCAGAATCAGAACTTCGTTCAGCATCCTGCCCGCGTCACCGGCCTACAGCTGCAAAGCCAAAGCCGAAGTCCCAGCTCGGAAGCTCCTCGCTCTATGGAAAGATCTGCTCCGGAGTACTCGCAGTCAGGTTTGCCTTCGCCCTATCCAAGCGTCTACGGCGACACCCAGTCTGAAGCTTCCTCTGCAGATCACGCATCTGCTGCCCAGTATTCGAGCACAGGGGAACCGCGTTCGGCCAACTACTCCACGTCCGCGACGCCCACGTCAGAGTACAGTGTCTACCCGCCATCGGCCAGGTCAAGTTCGTTTCCCGAACATCTCCAGCGTACATATCATCCTGCGAGCACCCACGGAGGTAGCAGCGGAGGTATGGCGCAAACACCAACAAGTCCGTCCATGCCTACACAAGATGGACGCAACCATCAGCCTCAGCAGGTCAAATCTAATGACGATATACCCTTAGATCCATCTCTCACGGCACCTAGCCCTACGTACGGCCAGAACCAGTACTCCCCGTACGCTGCGCCGCCTCAACACCACGACAACATGCAGAGTTACCCTCAAAGTGGTGGCCTCTACCCGCAGGCAAGGCCTGACTGGGCAAACTATGGCCAGCCTGGTCAAGTACACCACCCTCACATGTATCCTCCCACTCCGACATCTGCCGCGCCGCATGGTAGACCCGCGCAGGTAGGCTTTTTTTTTAAATTAACTTTTTTTTCAACTCAGTGCCGTTTGATCTCATCATTCGCGCATTGCGGGCGCCCTGCGGAATCAGATGCTTTGCTTGACTATTGAATTCATCTCTAGGCATGCGATGCGCGGATTCACGCTTCCACGACTTTGTTTAGTGACTTTGGGACAAATAAAACTAACTGCGCAATCAGGTATATTCCTTTGTCCCGATCCCAGGTGCCCAGCAGCACAAGCGGCCTCGCCGGCGGTACGAGGAGATTGAGCGCATGTACAAGTGCGGCTGGAATGGTTGTGAAAAGGCCTACGGTACACTCAACCACCTGAATGCTCACGTTACAATGCAATCGCACGGTCAAAAGCGGACCCCTGAAGGTACGTCAGATTGCTCCTGCTTTCCTTTGCAGAGTCTTGCCGATATTCCGCTATGTTGTGAGGCGCGTCGTGCTTTTTGTGGGTCTTGGTCGCACTCGTGGATCTGCCTATAGTCCCTCGGTCGCGTCGCCTCGCGCTAGCGCTATCAAGGCCAACAACAATGTCTACACCCGGGGAGAGCAATCGCTAACTATCATGAATCAGAATTCAAAGAGATCCGTAAAGAATGGAAGGCCCGCAAGAAGCAGGAAGAGGCTGATCGTAAGGCGGCCGATGAGGCCGAACGTCAGCGCCAGGTCCAAGAGGCCACACACAACGGCGCCCAGGCCGATGCTGGTGCCGGTCAGGCAGCCCAAGCCTACGGCAGCAGTTTGCCTCCGATTCGCTACCAGCCGACTGCTGGCGGGAGCGCATATCCCGCGCCCCCGTCATCAGCCGCAGTGCCTCAGCAACCGCTGCCCGAGTACGCTAGTCCAAGTGGCAGCGCGTACCCGAGCCAGTACATGCCAGCTTCGCCCTATGCACCACCCCCTGGCCAGCAGCAGATGTACAGCCAACGTCAGTAACCGTACTCGGTAGTGGCAATGGGTTTGTTACGGGCGTGCTAACCAGGCCGCAGAGCATTCTCAAGGGGACTAATAGTTCCAACCACCCCATTGGGAAATGAAAGTCAAGAGTAAAAAGTTGGAACTGCTGTATATTACCCCTCCATGATCATCACTCTCCCACTGTTCATAAGGCTTCATTTGATTTCGGCCATTCTAGAAGGACACGGCACTGCGTCAAGGAGTTGGTGCGTTGGGTTTCCCGGCGAAGGAAAAAAGTTTTCATGACTTTCGACCGAGTATACACGCCCAACGGGGCAGCTCTCACGAGGCGCATTTCTTTTTGCATTTGCATACCCAGGGGACAAGCAGACATCTTTCGGTCAATCATGAACGTTGCGGTACACCCCTCATTCCTCAATTGAGGCAGGGTCATCCGCGGTTTGTCTGACATCCCTGGATGCTCGACATTCTACTCATGGAGTTTTGTGGAGGCAGAAATATTGGTTCATTTAAGGGTCGGAAAACAAAGGGTTCTGTGGAGGCTGACAGACTTGCCCTTGAGGGTCATGTCCCAAGTCTCAATAATAGACCACGTGTTTTTTGTTTTTGAGAAAGGGTGGCCACATTCAGCATACGATACACACGCGAAGCACGGATTTTCTGGTGGCCATGAGTCACGAATGCGATAGTTATTTAGTTGCATTGAGTTTACGTTTACAAAAAGAAAACTGTCTAAAACTTTCTTATGCGTGGTCATGGTGTAACCCCTATACAATTAGGGGACATTGTGAGATGATGGTAAAGAAAAGAAGAGAAAAGAAGCGTGGACCTGGTTTGCAACAGGTGTGCTTTGATCATTTACAATATGATGGATGCACTGTTTTGAAGTTGTACGGAGAGAAAAGATTTACGCTGCCAGCCAGCGGCGCATTATTTAGTTTGCAGTTTTAAGATGCATTTATTTTATTCTCCGAGAACCTGGTCGTAAGGGTAAGAAGGGGGGTAAAAAAAACAAGCTTTTTGTTGCATCTGTAAGTCATCAGTGCCAACTAGTTTAGTTTGACTACTACGGTTGTGCAACCCTCGCCACGAGGCGAAAGTGTTTGCGACCAGCGCCGGTTCAAAATTTTACACTATTTTGTCCATCTTGCTAGGGTCAGGCGATCCGGTGCTGGGTTAGGTGTTTATAGGTCGGGAGGGTGAGACATACCTACTGGGGTGCGCCCGATGCCAAGAAGATGGAAGGATAAGAAGAACACAAAGAAAAGACAAGGGAATAAGAGAGGTCAGAGGTTTCTGTTGAATGCTTGACTGGGATCTTTGGTTAGAGCCATGCTGTGTAACAACACCATCTTTTGGGAGGGGTGAGCTTTTTTTTTTTTTTTTTTTTTTTGGTCCTCCCTCCAACTCCTACATTAGTCACCTCCATGTGTGATGAGATGCATACCTTGCATAACGCAAAGGGAAAGGATCTTGACTGGGATTCTTAGCAACCTTTGAACACTTGTGCATTTTTCGCGTTTTGCCCCTCTTTGGCTTGGTTGTCGGTATTTTGGAGGTAAGGGAGGGCGGCATGGATTAATTCACGGCATGCAATAGAGGACTGGTGGGTGCACTTGGTAATATGGTGGAAATGATGCCCATGGCAACAATATGCACAGTACGCTTTCTGTTTGTGGTTGCCATGCAAGGACTTTTCCAATAATATACTCGACAGTAGGTATACAATTTTCCCACACCAAACTCTCTCAAAAGGGTGGGGATTATATGATCGGCAGCATTATTTCTATGGTGCTCAGATGCTAAACAATCCATGGCTGCATCTGAAAATGCATCGTCGCTGACCTATGGCATTTTGCTTGAATTCTTGATGCTTTTCAGTGCAACAATTGCAGGTACAAACACACAAAATATGGGTGTTGTGTGCAGTTTCATTCCATTGTTGGTTCTCCCCTGGCCTACATACAGTACCGTATTGTCGGGTTTACTCCATTGTACTACCATGTTTGGTACGTATGGATGATGCACTCGAACTAAGGCGACCCATGATGCGACCCGCGCATCTGGGTTGTTCAAGGGTTCAGTCGTACTAGCGAGGGATTCTAATCTAGGATCTCGACATGGCGCCTATCCAGTTAGCAATATGTGCTTGTATATTGTGATTTTTCCCGTTGCGTCTAACCTATGCGTGCTAGTACAGGATTGGGGGCCAGATTTCATTTAAAAAAAAAAGGAATCCTTGGGCTTGTCGTTCTAAAATAGACCCGCCCCCCGGATCACAGCCTTGTTTGGTTCCATGTCTTTTCTTGGGAAACCGGCCGGTGCTTGTTCTTGTTTGGTCCCCGGGGCCGGTTGAATTCTTATTTATGGTCCGAAGTCCCTAAAAAGATGATTCCTTCCATTTGGGCTTCTCCCAAGGCTTCGGGACTATAATAGGGTCGCACGCACGCACGCACACACCCACCTGCCCTTGGGATGGGACGAAGCGTGTATGCCAACAGCAAGCAAGCGCCGGTCGCGACTTGTATATTGCTAGACACAATCAACGATACAAACGCACCCATGCCCCCCCCCCCCCCCCCCCCTCCAGCAAATCATATTAGCAAGGAGGGATACACAATAACATCATTCCCGTCGACCCGCCCCGCCTGCTCGGTCCCGTCATCACGGGCTTCCAAGGTTGTTATTTAGGTGGCCAGGAGGTGCCCCGTCGGCGCCCCGTCGGGCGCAGCAATGTTAAATAGGATTCTAGCTCCCTATCCAAGAAACAACGACAAACCTGTTTTGCACTCCTGCTTGGTTTGATCTGTGGCTGCACTCTGCCCAAATCACTGCTCGATCCTATTGTGAACGGGAGGCTGTATGCACACAGGATCAGAGAGAGCCCCAGGAGGCAGTCGACCTGCCTACATTCCCATCCCTTCTTCGGGATATCATACTGACATTGCAAGGGGGGGGGGAAAGTCAACAATATGGGTTGCTGCAGTTGTGGGGATTCGTTCAATCATGGCTCCAGGGCAAATCAAATCAACCGCAACGGAATCGTAATGGTTTCAAAACTTGTGTACATTTCGGTAGACAAACCCAATCGAGAGAAAAACACGATGGCGCCCGTGTGAGGCTAATAGTATTCACTTAATACCCCATGAGCAGGGGGGGTTTGATGGGAGGGTATCTATCACCTAGTCGATATACCGGCACGGAATAAGACTAGCATTGATCTTGGGAGCCTATATTTCTGTACGCAGTTAGTTTGCTCGTCCTTTTTTTTTTCTTTTTCTCTTTTCCCCCTTTGGTGAAGCTCATTAACATGGATTCTATTATAGGGGAGGGATTGCCCAAAATGCACGAATCCCTACCTTGTTCCTTTTTTTTTTTTCCCCCCTTATGCCGTCTTTGTGTTAGGCGCATCCATTTGGCACTCGACCTGCTTTCAACCTTCTGTGCATCTACTAGAAGACTACTGGTTCCATCCTAGTATGGACAATGAGAGGAAAGGATGGGGAACATATCAAGACTAGGCGCAGTTCCTTTTTCGTCGCGTGCCGCCATGTATTTATTTATTTATTAATGCCCCTCTGAAAAAAAGAGTTGCGGCTGCAGTGTGCACAAACAAGTATAACAGATAGTAGTGCACGCTCAATCTCCGCACCAGGAAAGAAGATGATGCACAAGTGTATCAAGTTGATTACCTATCAGGCCGAATTCCTCGGTCGGAACCAAGAATCAATACTACCAATGAAATGAAATGTTTTTGTGCAACATGGTCTTTTGATCAAGGCAAGCAGATATCATTTCTGGCAGGTTAGGTAATAGTAGTCACCCAGTCAGTCATATTTATAGCATCCGTCTCCAGCTTCCGATTCTAGTCATCCCATGGATGCATCGTCAAGGCGGCACGATCATGTTGGGACAATTTATACCAGCCAATAAATAGGTAGCGGTTCCGAACTTCACTGCAGCGAGACGCTCAAAGAGATAAAGGTAAAAATCACAGGTATGCGTAATGGCTTATGCACTCACTCATCATTTGACCACCCCGGACAGGGGAGCCTCGTGTACCACAAGGTGACATGGCATACAGGCGATGCCCGGAAGACTCACTCCTCTTTCGCACGTAGCATTTGCCCCCAAGACACGATACAGCGCTTGATCGGCATCTGAACGCGAGCATTGGCGGATGGAAAATGTATCATCGCTTTAGTTTTCTTTGAATAAATGCAGTGTGTCGCATCATAGAGAAGAACACACTGCTGCGCCGTTCTAATATGTAGTGCCAGTCGAGTTGGACAGATGCGCGGCACTCTACCTTAGGCCAATATGAAAAGAGAGGAATAAATTGACTAGATACACAATACCTCCATATATTTATTCTCTCGTGCGGGAGAGAGAAAAAAAAAAGAAAAGAGGCACGGCATAACATAGATGAGACGCGTTTATTTTGCATAAGATTGTTTTCAATATTACAACAAAACATTAATTTGCGGCACGGTAAAACAGGCGAAAGAAAAAGAAAGAAAGAGACAAGTGCGATGCGATACGATGACGTAGCGGGGGGAACTGCGACGGTCGCCTGTAGCGACTTTTTACAGAGGAAGGACCCTGAAAATCAGTCTCCCACCCCAGCCAGCCAAGATTTGGTTGGATTTCCAAGGCCCAGGCACGATAATACATGGACAGACCAAGATAAGATATGTCTGATTCAGATTAATGTCCTGCCCTGATTTTCTTTCCCCCTTTCCTTTCGCTGTCTTTTTTGACCTTGTTTGAAAGGAAACGAGCAGAATAGCGGCATATGATGAACCTCCCTTGCACTCCTTGAATTTCGGAATCCATCGCTCGCTTTATTCCAACCCAAGTGGTGCAGACACAGGCACAGTTGGTCCTTTCACTCGCTTAATCGGGCCTCTGCTCATATCCCCCCGAGCTGTTGTTCTGGGACTCTGTTGTCAAACTGTTTCGAGCTGGAACAACCGAAAAAAAAATTACCTCGCAGCGCAGTTCAGAACCTTCTTTCCAAGGGCACCCAGACAGAGTTGTACGGAATCAACAGGACACTTGTAGGCCGTTGCTACAGAACCTCCTGGAAGAACAAGAAGAAGCAGGAAAAAAAAAAAAAAAAAAAAAAAGAACTATCCGCCGCCGACTTTCGTTTCATAGGTTGATTCTCTAAATTACTAGGAGATTCCACTCGAGCTAAACATCTTCTTGATAATATTCCAGGTCCCCGCCCGCTACCTGGAAGAAGCATTTGCATACTACCTTACATACCTTAGGGCACTGCTTCCAACGTCCGGGATGGACCCACACCGCCGATCCGCCGATTCTTCAACCTCGTCGCCGTCCAGGTCAACCGCATCAACACCTAGACTCGCTACTCAGGACGTGGTTTTGGCGCATACTGACCCTCTGTCAACGCCCAACTTCCGGTCACACAAAGGATCCTTGGACTCGCCGGGGCTCCTCTCGTTGAAGTCGGTCGACTCCGTCCCTGTCACTGGTGTCTATCCCTTCGGCTCATTGCGCATCAACGAGCCGTCAGAGGACACCGACGCCGAAATGGACCACGCCACCCCTCTCACCGTCCCCGACAGAACGCCAGACCCCGTAGAGAAGGACTCGGACATGCTTCAGGGTGGTGACGTGCTCATACTTGATGATTTGCCCGCCACCTTTACCGTTGGCTGTGATACCATCTCATTCTCCACGACGCAGCAGTTTCTCGGATTTCGTGATATCCCACCCGGTGCTCATTTAATTTGGGTATCACCATTGGAGTCAACCTCCTCTCGCAGCGGCTATTGGATCAGCACTCCGGAGAAGGAGGCCGGCAGCCCGGGCAAGGTCTATGTCAAGCAATGGGACAAGTTCAACGAAGTGCTTTCTGATCCTGCAAGCCAGGCCGAGGAGCGATTTCAGAGGGAGAGGCTCAGCCAAATCTTTGCAAAACTTGCCCCATATCAGTTCAAGGCGTCCACCTCGGCTGTTGCGCCTCCAGGTCTTGCTGCCAATGCAGACCCTCTGCCCTCTTTTCTCAGCAGCATCACGATATGGCAACAGCTCACTTCGGCCATTGGGCCACGGCTGCTTGATCGCTTGGCCGGCGGGAAGCAGAAGGACGCGTGGGCCGTCAATACTTCTGACCGCATTGCTGGAGAGACTAGTCTTCCCGAGGAAGCCCACCTCTATCCCACCTCTTCAGCACAGCTGACTTTCTCGTTCCCCATGGACCAGCGGCTTTTTGATCCGGCGGCCGCGGGCGCAGAGCGCACCCAGCAGGCTCTCGATCCATCATCGTGGGTGCTCTCGCGTATTGAAGAAGAGGACACACTGCTTGGCGAGGTCCAGTTCGCCTTTCTGACTGGCATGCATCTGGGCAACTACTCGTGCCTTGAGCAGTGGTGGTACTACACGACCATGATCATCTTCCGGTCATACCGGCTTTCTATTGACCGGCCAGCTCTCGTGCTGCGGTTGATACAGACAGTGCACGCGCAGCTGGTTTACAACGAGCGGTACCTGGAGGGCGCATCGATTCTAGACTCGGCTCCCGAGCAGGCCCGGCGGCTGCAGCGGGCGCTTACGGTGTACAAGTCGCGCCTGAATGAGCAGCTTCTGTCACTAGGAGAGAGGTGTACGTCGGAGCAAGGCGCCGTGGGCGAGGCATTTTCGGCGCTCGAGAGCTGGTTGTGGCGTCTTGGCTGGGACCTCCGCGGTGATTACGTCCGAAGTGGAAAAGTAATGCTCGAGGATGGTGAGGTCATTGACGCCGAGCTCTCCGATTTCGAAAGCGAAGATGAGCGGGGCGAGTTTGCTGCCGTTGTCGTCGATGTGGATGAGAATGGTCGGCCTACTGACTTTGTTTCCGTCTGAGCAGGAAAGAAAAACTAAATAGGAGAGCGGCCGCCACATTTTGACAACATGCCATAGTTGGTGCGGCCGTCATCATCTCCATCTTATCACGAACAACCTTCTGTCCTTTCAGTGGAATGATCAAGATGAAGCAAGTGGCTTTGTGGGGACTTTGAAATAATTTTACCTTGCCTCTTGTCGCTCATTCTCGGGACGGTTCGGAAGCTGATTTCTTTTGTATGGAAGTGTGCTATTGGGGCAATGTTCATGTTGGGCACTCGTTCTATCTTTTATCAGCGGTCCAAAATCACGGATCATGTGCTGAGACGCTCCGACAAACAGGGACGCGGTTTGATAAGTTGGAATAATGAAATTTTGCAGTCGAGGTTTTCTTGTTTGGCTTTTCTCTCTTCTTTCCCTATCCGCATAGCATGGGCGTTCTCTGAAGGGCGGTGGTGTATTGCTTCGTTATCGGTCATAAAAGCCATGAGTAATGAGAATATTATTATGATTTTGCAATTGACAGGTCCACTATTGAAAATATGTAATACCGCCTTTGCCCTGGTGGATTGATTACTACTACAAGACACACACTCAATATTGGCATCGCCGCCACCAAGATATGACCAAGTATAGACGTCAATATCCTCATGGCACAAAGATAAGGGCTCTGAAATTGATCGGCCAACAATCATTCTCGAGTCGTGCAAAGTCGACATGACCATCTTTCCACTATCATTGCTTGCGTGGTGGTCTTGCTCACCTGTATGCTTTTTGACTATACCAAAGCTGTCAAACTGATGCCATCCCCAAAACGGTCTGCTTCCATGAGGGGAACTCATTGTATATTTAACCATGATTGTTCTTATCGGATTTTCTATACACCATGATAGTCTACAGTCATGTCATAACTTTCCTCCGCTGAAGTTTCCCGGAGTCCAGAGACAAGAGGTGACCTCCCTAAATGAATCTGACCAAACGCAAACGTTGGGACAAGGCTTCCATGAGAAATTCAAAGAACAAAGAGCTTATCCCAAGTAGCGCTCAAGCATGCGACCAGCAACGTCCTAATGATCTTGCAAGAAGACGCATGTATAGCGGTCAGAACAGTGACTTCTCTGTACTCAGTGTTAGCTGTTCATGTCAACAGAAAGGGAGGGGAAGAAACACCAGCATCTCGAGACTGAGGATAAACTGTCTTACCTGGCTACCAAGATGTGTGAGAGGGAGTCTGTCTACCTTTTCTCATCGTCTTGCAGTTGATTGGGGAGTTCAATGGTTATTGTCAATGTCTTCCGGGGGTCTGCCTGTGCGCCAATTGATCAGAAACCATCCAATCTCGCAAGCAACAGCCACGGAAGCGACGAGAATGACGGGATTCTGCGCGTAGGAACGCAATCCTGTTGGTCCAGTCTTTGAGGAATTGAAATGCTGGATAACGATTTCTGCAGCTGCCATCGACGTCAAGGAAAATACACTGTTGACGAGGAAATAAAGATTGGTTGTGCTGCGCCGTCTGTACCACCATGCAGCTCCTGCCCATTTCGCAAGGGTCTGATCCCACAAGTCTTTTCGACCAAGTCTTCGCTACCGGCCTGGTTTGTTCTGGGCCTCACTCAGGAGCGAGTTGATGGACTGTCGCTGTCGGCGCAATTCCTGACGGCGTTGTCCATCAGAGGCGTCATCTTCATCTTGAGGAGCTGGCGAACCAGTACCGCGAATGTCCATTTCATTCCAGAGGGCATTGCCGTCTCCAGGGGTAATACGCTCCGATCGCAAATATTTCTGCACTGGATGAAGTCCCTTACATGCCTGGAAGTCGCCAGTGTTTTTGAGTCCGAAAACGACGTTCTGGATAAAGTTGAGACATCGAAATGCATAATACAACCAGACTGCGGCCACTTCTACAGGTCTTCCGTGGGAGCAGTTGCTCAGCCATGCCCACCAAAAGAGTCGAAAGCACCGGCAGCGGTGACCCGACCTAAACTCGCCTCGAGTGAAGAGGCCAATGAGCAACCCTAGGAGTATCAACCCGAACCCTTGTCCTGCTAGGGCAGCTTTTGTGAACCAACGCATTCCCAGGGGTTTCTTCATGTAAATCGGAGTAGCCGCAGCTAGGTTCATTGCATCGAGAAGCATGATCCCAACGGCAATGTCGGCAGGAGACGGTTTCGTTTGCTCAGGGTCGTGCTCTCTGGGGGTCGGCTTGATCGCCTGGACCACCAGAGCAATCCCATAGTACATTTGTACAAGGAGCAACACGACACCAATGATGGCGCCGTGTGTGAGCCATGTCTCGAAGAAGCCGATGAATGCCATCAATGCAGCAGTTATCACCATCATCCAGATAGCGGCGCGAATGAGGAGTCCTCCCACGTCCTTGTTGATGTCCACATGGCAAGCCAGATTCATGCCCCGCTGCGTTGCCCCCAGACCGACCCAGCAGCCCACGGCAAGGCAGGCGCACAAAAAGGCAATGGCTGTTGCAATTCTGTCGAAACGTTTCAACTGCTAGGTGTAAAGTTTCTGGCGGCTAAAGTGCCAGTACAACTCGTATGATAGGAAACCGAGCTGAGAGAGTACGAGGATGAGGAGAAACGAGAACCTTGGCCACGAGTCCAGCATTATGACGGCCCGGGCTGGTTGATTTCCTGATAGAACAAGTTGATTTTTTAGCAGGTAGAAATGATCAGGGTTCAAAAACAGAGATGGAAACACTGTTACTTGAAGACTAGAAAATGATGATTGAGTCGTAAACAAACTGTGATCTGTCTTGTGATCTGTCTTGTGATCTGATATTGTTTTGGGTGGAGAAGAAAGAGGGAGACAGTCCAAAGTCTCCTGATAGATGTAAACAGAGGTGCATTCTCCCATCGCTCATTCCTAGGCAAGTAAGTTTCATAATTGGTCGAAACTCACGGCAAGGAGAATGGGCCAATGAAGCCATTGCAACTTCTCTTTGTAAGTTGTGGTCATCACACATTCGATCCTTCCCTTTTTCTTCTCTCCTGCCACATAGAGAACAGGCACGAAGAGGTCGAGTATCCTGCCACATGGAGTGGTACGTCACGCTGATTAGATGAACAGGCTTCTCAGCGGTGCAGAGAAAGAACATTGAATCTCCTACCGGGCTTATACAGTCATTACTATGGCAGACTCGACACTTTGATGTCCGTGAACACATGGTTGAGGTGTGTCGTAAATGCGATGAACTCAAAAGGTCTAATACGTCTTCCTTGTGAATGGGAAGTCCATGGTTGGTCAGCAAGCCCAATCACTTGCTGCTTTATAAGTGGGCTGCACAAAGCGCCAGGTGAAGGTGTGCCGGGCTGCTATTTATGAATCTGCGACCAGTATCTGCGGGCTTTTGATTGTCCAGCTGTGAGAGTCGTGACCAAGGCTTTAATGTGTTTAATATCAGCGTCCAGAAACAAGAATATCACATGGGAAATGACAATAGATGGGGGGGAGTTCTGTTCTAGGCCGGCAGTCTCCCGCATAGACCTAGTACTGGCATGACATGGCATACTTGTCACCAAGATGGAAGACCTCGACGTGGTAGAATTCTTGACGTTTCATTCGCCTATTCCCTTACAACCCAGGCAGAGAGCAGCCCTGCCATGCAAATGCATAGATGATCAGAGGGCATTCACAAAGCCCTTTTCATGTGTGGGATCCTCTTTTGTTTTGTTTTTGACTCCATTGAGACCAAACGTGAAAAAGTAGCCGTCCGTTGTCCACTCCAGAGCCTTTAATAAAAAGAACACCCTGTTCGTCGTCCCTTCATCACGTCCAGCACGACCAGAAATCCATCCAGCACGGTTCCCTTTTAGCCGGCAGACAGACCGGTCGCCTGTGTCCATCCATCCCCAGCAGACGCCAAAATGCAATGCAAATGCACCAGCGACACCAAGAAGCACAACCGCTTAACGGTAAGACTTCTGGAATCTGGAGCGGGCACCAGGACCACCGAACTTCTTGGGCTCGCAGCGACGGTTGTCGGCAACGAGGAGGGTACGGTCGTACTGAGCGAAGGCAGTCTTGAGCGTGTTCTTGGAGTGCTCGTCGACGAACTTCTGGTAGTAGGCAATCAGGGCCTTGGCGATGGCCTGACGGATGGCGTAGATCTGGGAAGTGTGACCACCACCGGCGACGCGGACACGGATGTCGACACCGGCGAACTTGTCAAGACCGATGACAAGGAGGGGCTCGTAGACCTATCGGTGCAGTATTCATTAGCACGCACGTTCTTGCGCATCTTGGGGGTAATGTATTGGCGTCGTGGCAGATGTGTTGAAATTAGAGTATTTTCATTGGTCCATCATGTGTTCTTGATCATCTTGTTTTGAGAAATGTTGGGGACTGAAATCGGTTCGTTCGTACCTTGAAGCGCAGGATCTGGGGCTGGACCAGAGAAAGAGGCTGGCCGTTGACCTTGATGAGGCCGGAGCCAGACTGTGATTGAGAGAGATCCGTCAGCAAACTTGTTCCCTTTTCGCCTGTGATTTCCCTAGACTCCTGTGTTCCATCTCGCTGTTCGCTTTTGGCTTTCTTTCTTTCGTGACGCGATTTCCTCTGTTGGTTCGATTTTGTCGTCTTCTTCTTGTGAACTCGTCCAAACTGTTGTCCTCCTCGTCCTCCTCTTTCCATCGCGAAATCGTAGCCAAGCCAGCGCCAGCTTTATCCCAATCGTCTATCCTCCAGGGCGGGCGAGAGACCAACCTTGCAGTGGGCGACAGCGGTGGCCGTCTTCTTCTTGCCGAAGCATTGAACGCTCTGGGTGGGAGCCATGGCTGCGAATCTGTGGTTGTCGGTCGTGAGGTTGAGGATGTCGCAATCTCAGAACGGTCTCAAAAGGAAAAAGAGGGTCGGCTTGCTTTCGGATTTGCTTGGGTTGAGGCTGACTTGAGATTTTTCGTAGGGTTTTCAAAATTGTGCCCTCGGAGCTGGCGCTAGACTTGTTCTGGGTGGGGGGAGGTGAAAGTGGTGCCGCGTTGGAAAAGTGGAGAATTAGCCGGATAATTACCGTTTTCCTTGTCTTGTCTTGCGCTCGTCTTCTTATCGGAGAGACTGGAACTGACCCACTTGGATAAGGGCGCCTTGGCGCCAGTTGCCGGGTCCGGACGTTTGACATTGGAGAATCAGCGCGGGGAGCATTGATGACAATCTGGATTTACTTTCCATTTGGTACTATCATTATACTCGGGCATGTTTTATTTACAAGGTAAAGCGGGAAAACTGACGGGACTCATGAAATACCCCATCCGTGAGCCAACTCGATGCTTGAGATATATCGAGACAGCAATAGAGTGTGCTGATTTGTACAGATTGATTTGCCGGCCCAAGGTAAAAAGGTACATGGTTTACAGTGTACATTACCTCTCTAACCATCTCCTTCCTAGACCTGTTCTCATATACTGAAGCCTCCGCTACTGCCTTTCCACGCAACCTTTGATGACATACCACTACTTTCTCTACACTGAAAGATTCGCATACCAGACTGTGTAAGACGTTACTACATACAAATCTCGAAGAGAGAAGAAACATATTAGATCGATCATGTCGCGCAAAGGTGTAGGCCTGGCGGCCTTTGACCGCTCCCGCCTGACATCGGCCCAGTTCGCCTCCCACGGAACCTCGCTCCGGACAACCAACGCGGAGGCGCTGGAGACGCAAATGACCAAGTTCCGGTCGCTGGTGCAGCAGTTTGCTCAAACCCACGCCAAGGACATACAGTCGAACCCCTCGCTACGCGCCCAGTTTGCGCGCATGTGCGCCGCCATTGGCATTGACCCGCTAGCCTCGTCCAACTCATCCTCGTCGTCGGGAGGAGGGGGCTCGGGAGGTGTGGGGAGTATCTGGGCCCAGATGCTGGGTCGCACCGTCAATGACTTTTACTTTGAGCTGGCCGTCCGCGTCGTCGAGACGTGCGGCGCCACCCGCAGCGAGAATGGCGGCCTTATTGGCGTCAAGGAGTTGCGCGAGCGCCTCATGCGCGGCCGCATGAATGGTGCCCCCGAGATCACCGAGGACGATGTTCTGAGGGCCGTGGGCACGCTCAAGCCTCTCGGCAGCAGCTATGCCGTCATCAAGGTCGGTAACCGGAGTTATGTTCGCAGCGTGCCCAAGGAGCTGAGTACGGACCAGAGCGCCGTGCTCGAGGCCGTCCAAGTTCTCGGCTACGTCAGTGTTTCCATGCTCATGGTGAACTTGAGCTGGACGAGAGCCAGAAGCCAGACTGTGATTGAGGACCTTCTCGGCGAGGGTATGCTCTGGGTTGACAAGCAATCTGACGAGTGGGAATATTGGAGCCCGGGATTCATGTTGAGTGGTTCTGCAGGTTGAAAGCTGCAAACAACCTTTGCCACTTGGTAAACGATCAAGGGCTCACCTTATAGAGAGACCACAGCAACCAACGACAGGTCGCCGCTCAGGCATAATGGACCATACATGCCAGGGAGGGCTGATTGCCTACTGTGAAAGAAAGCTTGTCACCAGACTTTACAGTGAGATATCCATGGTGAAACGATACGCGCGATATCTGGAGTCAGACAACCAAATCGCCAACTGTTCACGGAGAAGCTACCTTGCGTCGGAATGTTTGGTCGGTCCGCAGCAGTTGTACCCAGGGAACCATGTGAGGCAAGACAAACGTGCCAAGCTGGGGTCATTGCAGGCAGTAGTGAACGATATATATATATGTATAAGTGGCTGGCCTGCTGACAGTCTCGAGACTATGGCTCTGTTCCGTATTCATAACACAGTGCAAATTATATGTAGAACAAACAAGTTGATACAATCATCTCCATACATCATCTATACCTTTTCGTACCCAACATTCTATGGCTGTCTGTGCCCAATATGCCCTCCGTGGCCCTTCCAACCTACGCACCGATGCCAACACAATCAAGAAGCAGAACCTCAAAGTCCATATATCGAATGCTATGGACCAAGCAAAAGTATGAACTTACAAACGAGTCCATACCTAGTGATCATGCAAGTACCCACTCGTCACCTACCCCAACGTCTACATCTCGGGATTGCCAAACCATACGCAAAAAGCTCACCACACCAGCCTTAACCCTAATTACCACAGCCTTTCTTCAACAACCGATCGTCAACCTTCTCGACGATGCGGATCAAAACCTCCGGGGATGTGGTCTAGTGGTATGACGTTTCCTTAGCATGCGATAAAAGCATGGAAAAGGTTCTGGGTTCGATTCCCAGCTTCTCCACATTTTTGCATTTCTTTTCTGACTTTTTGATATTGTTTTGTGTTTTCACAAGCACGCATAAGGTGGTGAAACAATTGACCTAATGTACTTGAAATGGCATGTCATCTACTAGTGAATGGAGGAGATATCTGGACTAGGTGGGATTTTGATTTTATCTCGTTAGACCGCATATATTTGCTTGTTACCATTTCAGTTTGAATACTACAATACCAAATGCCGAGGGTCTACTAGAGCCAATGAATAGTAGTGGTATGTTTGATTGACATGATGTAGTAATGAACTCTCTACCTTATTATCAATATGAAGGAGGCTTCATGGTCTGGATATCTGCCACTCCTGCCGCCCAGCAAAATTGATAAACAACAAGTTCACGACTCGGATGTGGCACAGGCTCAATGTCTCCCAGTTGGCAGTTACAGTTTCCTCTCAACATTCAGACATTGTGCGGCGGATGCTCACAGGAAACCATATGTGATCAGATCTTCAGAGTACATTTTATTCTGCTACCTATTTCGGCATCAAGTTTTCTTCGTCAAGGATGGCTAATCTACCTAGCAATCTTTGGAACCCTCTCTTTTCTCTAAGGGCCAAATTCCACGAGTGTTCCTAGGCTGCTGTACTACAAGCTACTCCCGGTCGACTGGGGCAGTACCAAATAAAAAGTCGCTGAAACTAAATTGACAGCAAACTGTCATCCGACAGCCTTTGCAGTCAGATCTATTATGTAAATCAAACCCTCTAGCCCCAACGCCGACTTTTTGCTATTTGTGCATGAAAAAAAGAGAAAAGAGAACATTTGTAAACAATGATCCGTCCTCTCAATGTCATGAGGACTCAATACAACTATTTTTGCTGCAAAGAGGAAGTGGATATCATGTTATGGATTACCAGCGGCGGTTGCCAAGAGGTTGGTCATTGGCACCGCTTCGGTCACCACCACCACCACGGCCACCTGTTCGTAAATCAGTCAGTCTACATTTCCCCGGCTTGAATTTTCTACTTCTGGAAACAACATACCTCTGTGGCCACCGCGGCCCCAACCTCTGCCGCCGTAGCGACCACCGCCGCCACCGCCGTAGCGGACCATCTCCTGCAGGCGAGGATCAATCTGCTGCTTAGCTTCTTGCAGAACGTTCACCAGGTCACGAGCTTGCTTGGAGTCTAAATTTTTATGTCAGCAAAAGGGTATCTTGACGTCATGGATCGTGAACTTACTATCAGTAGTAAACAGGGTAATGGCAGTACCCATGGCACCAGCACGACCAGTACGACCAATACGGTGGATGTAATCCTCCGAGTTGTTGGGGTAGTCATAGTTGAACACGTGAGTGATGTTGCGGACATCTTGATTACGAGTATGGTTAGCTTCAGATAGCAGTCATGGTTGTAGCAAGTCCCAGCGACGGAGGATGTCTAAAAATATAGATCCGCGCTTTCTCCTAGGAGAATGGGGGCTGTCCGTTGCGTCAACATGCCAGTATGGAAGACATTGAACACGGCCCGGGTCCTTCGGGATATTGGAATCTAAGAGACAGCTTGAAAGAATCAAGCAATGCCAATTCCGCCCTCGTGCTGCAAGGGCCAGCAAGTCAAAAGGGCGGAGCTCAAATGATATAGCAGTGGGTGCACAGCTGCTATAAATCGGATCCCAATAATCCTGGAAGTGAGAGAACCACGGTACACGAGATCAGGCAAATTGTGCACAATCGAGAAAGCCCCTAGACATACATGGAAGTCAAGCACAGCGGATATGGAAATATCTCGGCTGGAAATTGCTACGGGGACAGGGGAGGGGAGGGGGATAAGTTATCATACCAATACCACGCGAAGCCACATCGGTGGCAACCATGATGGGGCTCTTGCCGTTCTTGAACTGGTCAAGGACCCAGTCACGCTCGTTTTGCTGCTTGTCACCGTGAATGGCTGGGATAAAAGTTAGCAATTGGTTTTTGTGTTCGGTATGAATCAAGAAGCTCACAAAGTGCCGGCCAGCCATCCTGGCGGAGGAATCGGGTAATGTCGTCGGCAACGCGCTTAGTACCAACAAAGATGAGACACTTATTGGCCTTGTCGTCCATGATCTTCTCGAGGTGCTTGATCATCTTGTCACGCTTCTCCGATTCCGTAACGACCTCGACAATTTGAGTGATACGGTGGTTAGCAGACAGGTCCAGAGAACCAATGTTGACTTGAATAAAGTCAGTCAAGAAGTCAGCAGCCATGGCTCGGACCTCCTTGGGCCATGTGGCGGACCACATGAGCGTCTGTCTGTCAGGGCGAATCTGGCTGATGATCTTTCTGATTTGGGGCTCGAAACCCATATCAAGCATACGATCGGCCTCATCGAGGACGAGATAAGTCACACGTCGCAGGTTAGTCTTGCCGCTCTCCACCATGTCGATCAATCGGCCGGGAGTCGCAATGCAGACCTCAACACCCTTGGTCAGGTCGCGAATCTGGGGACCACGGGGAACACCACCGTAAACACAGGTGTTTCGGATGCGGGAGGAGCGACCGAACTTGGTAATCTCCTGCTGGATCTGAACTGCCAGCTCACGAGTAGGAGCCAGAACCAGGACGATAGGGCCATCGCCAGGTGCCAGGAGGGGCTGAGCGTTGATGTGGACGATAGCGGGAAGACAGTAAGTAAGTGTCTTTCCGGAACCAGTCTCGGCAATACCAACGACATCGCGACCCGAAAGGGCCATGGGCCAGCCTTGCGACTGAATAGCGGTGGGGGCCGGGAAACCCTGGGCCTTGACCTCATCCATGACATAGCGAGGGAAACCAGCCTCGTCAAAGGTCTCGACAGGCTTGGGCACATCACTACCGTGAACTGTCATCTTGTGGTCTCTGCGGAATCGGTCAACTTCTTGTTGGGATCGGTTGGCAACTGCATCGTCCTCCTTGTAGAAAGACTTCTCGAACTTGGGCATCGTGCTGAGATCTGGTGCAAGCCGTTAGTATATGGGATTGATCAATGGAGGCAAGTTTACATACCCCAGTTTTGCTTCTGAAGACCTGCACCAAGGTTAGACATTCTGTCACCACCGCCGCCGTGGCCGCCACCATGGCCGTTGGAGTAGCCGTTGCTGCCACTGTGAAAAAGGAGCGTTAGCAATCTGAATCAGGACCATTTTACGATACTGATGATTGAGGAGAGCACTGGAGTCGAGCAAGTAGGTGTTGCGCACCCAGACACAGACAACAGCCGTCGTAGGGCTTCGGTAGAGCTGGGAAATTGTGGTAGAGACAAAGAAAACATACCCGTAACCACCGTGGTCGCGACCGCCAGAGCCATACTTGTCGTAGCCGTTCGAGTAGCCACCACCACCACCACCGCGACCGCCGCCGTAGCCGCCGCCGCCGCCGTATCCACCTCCGTAAGACATGTTGCGCGTCGAGGATGGGAGTTTATTGATCGTGTGTGTGTTTATGACGGAGCGCTCAGCGCGAAGGGGTGTCGCAGGTTATTGCAGCCCAGCGAAACCGGGAGAAGCAATCCAGCAAATGTTTCGACGAACTATTCGTCGCCGAGTAGATTGAAAATGAGAGGAAGTGACAAATTAATCGTGTCAGTCACAAGAAGAGACGTTGGTGTTGAGTGGAGGGGAGAGTTTGGATGGAAAGAGGTTGTTTGGGTCGACGTGAAGTTTTGTCCGTCGCTGGAGGCGAGAAAGGCAGCAGCTACGGAGGGCGGTTTGGCTTGGGCGATGAAAAAAAAAATTTACTGAGCAAGTGCTAGTCAGCTACTAGCCTGGTCTAGTTCTGCAAAGCGAAGAAAAAACAGAAAGTCTCCACAGCGGTGCGTCCTAGCCAATCGTTTTGGTTTAAAGTGGATTTGTGTCCCGCAAGTCCCTGCGTTGCACTTGCTAATAATGGAGCACTGTTGCTAGCCAGCTCAGAGAGTCTTGCACAGCAAACAGCAGGAATGGGGGTTTTTTTTCTTCCCCTTCCCTCGCCATCGATGCCACTGATAACGATAACGATACTTTACCCTTTTCGACCAGGATCAGGGTCTCTGAGAGCAGTTGAATTGTACATAATAGGTGTTGAATTGTGGATGCATTCCCTTTTTTTTTTCTTCAGACCCTTCTCAACTCTTCTCGGATGTGCTCTCACTAGAATAGAATCTAATTTATTAGTGAGGTCACATGTGAATCATTGTTTTGAGACCTATCTGTTGGGCCCGAGTTTTTCTTTCACGATACTCGAGATACTCGAATTGCCTACTTAGGTACTAGTTAGTCCGACGTATCAGGTATTCAGTTTATAGTTACCTAGATTCTCTTCTGCGACCGTGAGGGGCTCAAAAACAAGAATCGAAAGGAGTTCAAAAAGTGATAATAATTTTGATTCTATTGGAAACGCAAACGCAGGATAATGTTCAGCTAAGTTTGATTACACGGTTTCTCAAGCTTATCCCACAAGCAATGCTGTCCTTGATACTTCAGCAAGCCAAGGCAATCCATTGTCATCATTACGATGATATCATGTGTTTCTCAGTACTGCTTTTCATCAAGCGCTGCGAAAGACGAGTTTGGTTTTAGCAAGGCATACATTGTATGGTCTATATCGCTATTCTTGTCTCCTACTATGTTTTCCTTTACTCGTAAGGGAACATTTCCCAGAAACCAATCTCCATCTGTACATATATTAGCAGCTGAGCATAGGTATACTTTCAAGACATCTCCTTCCATCTTCAACAGCATACGATACATGACAATCTCAAATTGAACTTACCTTGGTAGCGTGAATAAAGATCTTGACAAGTTCCTCAACTCGACTAGGACCGAGCAGAACCGCATGCCTTTCAATCAGCTCACTGCCCGTCCGCACGGCACCGACATAATCTTCGGCGACATAGTTGAGGATCCACTTGTAGTAGGTATTGCCCTCGCGGACCGTGTCCTCGGCACCGTGGAGCATCTGGGCGACGGCGCCGTAGCCCAGCAGGCAAGGGGCCAGCGCGAGCTGCAGGCCGAGCCAGTCGCCGGCCATGCCAACGTCAAGGACGTAGCGCGTGTATGCCGTGCAGGCCATGTGCTCCTCGGTCGCCTCGATCTGCGCCTTGGGGATCCCAAAGCCCGCGCAGTAGTCCAGGTGCAGTGACATTTCCGTGTGGATGTGGTTCACAATCTTGGCTCCCTACAAGAAGGTGAGAATGGCGACATGTCAGCCTCTATTTGCTCTATAGAATGCGGATGAAGCAGTGAAGGGGACTTACCGCGGCGACGTCCTCGATACTGTTGGCCTTGTACGATGCCAGAGCATTTGCCCGTGCAAAATGGACCAAGTAGAGATAGTCTTGAATCAAGTAGTTCTTAAAAGACTCCAGGGGTAGCTTTCCAGAACCCATGGCCAGCACGAACGGATGATAGACAAATTTTTGCCATACTGGGGCAACGTCCGGCCTACTGAGCAAGTATTCGATGAAACGGCCACTTGATGCCAGAGTCAGCATTGTTCCTACATCCGGCTGCGACACAACTTACGGTGTGAAGGGGAGAGTGTATACGGAATGGAAATGGTTGAGCGGTCCATTTCCATGTCCATAGTCTGGCGCGGTACGAATGCCAGCCTCAATGTATCGTGAAGCTGCTCTCACGGCGTCCACGGGCTCGAGTCCCTTCGCAATGTTGGACGCAATGGCAGAAGCTAGCGAGCAGCCCGTGCCGTGAGTGTTCCTGGATTGTTGGTACAGGCTCACGAATCTCGTGATCTGGCCCTCACCAAAGAGGACGTCCACGACCAATTCCTTGTCCTCTGTCTCCTTGGCTATAGTGCCGTCCTTCTTGAAAGGTACGTGACCACCCTTGATGAGAATCCATTTTGGTCCCAGCTTTTGTGTCTCTCGTGCTAGTTTTTCCAGATCATCAATCGTGTTGATCTCTATGGGCTCATTTCCAGCATCCGAGAGTAAAAGCCGGGCCTCTGGGATATTGGGTGTTACTATGAAAGTTTGAGGCAGTAGCAGGGTCCTCATGTCTTTTACAGCCTCAGGGGGAAGCAAGACAGCTCCGGTCGTTGCCACCATGACCTGTTTTCGTGTCAGAATAGATTCTCTGAGAAAAGAGTACTCTTTCTGCTAAAGAAATACTCACTGGATCCAATATGAGCTTTTTCACTTGATAATCCTTGATAGCAGTTGCCAGCATCTCGATAGTCGATGCCGATGCCAACATTCCTGATATGGTTAGCGAGAGATCCAATAAGCCTATTTGTAACGAGGAATAGACGTACCAGTCTTGACGACGTCAGGCTGGATGTCTGTAAAAACAGCATCAATCTGCTTTCGTACAAACTCGGTAGGTACATGATGAATGCCACTGACACCTGTCGTATTTTGAGCCGTAAGTGCCGTGGTCGCGGTCATGGCATAGCAGCCATGAGCTGCGATGACCTTTTGGTCCGCCTCCAAGCCACTGAAGACCAAATCATCATGTCAGCATTATACTGTTTCATGCCTACCACTGCAGAGAGGAGATTGGGAGGGTAAATACATACGCTCCACCCGAACTATCCGAGCCGGCGATTACCAGGATTTTTCCTTGGATTCGACTACCCAGCTCGGACGTCCCATTCTGAACTTGCCCACTCGTAGCCATCGCGCCTCTTCTTCTTCTTTGTCAGCTCACACCTCACCCGCTAATCTTAAAGTTCGCTGGCTCGAGCTGTAGTCAATAGCCAACAGATATTGGGTAAAGATATAGGCCGGCGCCGGACCCGTTCAGCTTCAGATCACGGAGGATTACTTGGCGCCTCTAGATTCCCTGTGCTCCTTTCTGCTAGATTTGGGGAAAACTTTCTCGTCAGATGGATTTCTGGCAGCACATGGCAGTTTTCTTGACCTTGAAATTGCGAGAATTTCATCGCTCTGACTAGTCCACTGACTACTGGTGCGAACGTGGGGTGTGGGGCGTTCAGTATTTATTAGACGCAGTGGGAACATTCCCAGAGTCACTTTTCTTGCTTGACCATTTCCACAATCAACTAACCATCTTTATAGAATCGAAAGATATCTGGTTCTGAGAAAATATCTGCGTTTATTGTGAGTCAGGTGGCTGCTTCCAAGCCTCGGCTTGAGAATGCATAAAGTAATCAGACTAGACCGTGAAAGTGATCAGCTACGCCATCATTGTTGACTTTGCTCTTGTCCGCATAGCATCAATTACAAAAGGCGTAACCACAACGGAACTCAAAAATGTTTACAACAAAGGCATCATAGGTGTACAATTATATCGCTGCCACTGGAGGCGCTGCTAATTATTCCCTCTCCCCCAGGCCTTCTTGCTCGGCCGTTTTATCTACAACATATATTCCGACGTGAACTCCAGAGTATCAGTCGTCATCTTCTGGTTTTCTTGAGATGCCCTTATATCCATCATAATGCGGTGTTGGTTCCGCTCACAACGCCTTGACAAACAGGGAATAAAGACAGGATGAAGGTTGTTTTAAGAGAATAGGTGAGAAACAACAATGAAAGGAGCCGAGAATAAGATCTGTGCCTTTGCTGATGCTCGGCTCAAGTGCTTGATTTGAATCGTTCAGGTGCATCTAAGAGTGTAGGTATGCAGTTGTGCTAAAAACAGATAAAAGAATGTTGCTCTGTGCTGCTTGCTTCTGGCTGGATGAATGTGCAAAGTGAGCTCTGTGGCAGTGACTAAAGAGCTGAGCTGTGAAACATGACAAGTTTCAGTCTAGAAACCTCTGACGAGCTGCAAAAAAGCAAGCTTGTATGTGAGTATATGCCTGAAAAGGGGGCGCAGAACAGCTCGAGGCGAAATGCGTTGTTGTAAAAAGCTCAAAGCTTTGTTGTTCATTACTTCGTATTGCGATTGCTGGGTATCGTTGTGTATAAGTGGCTGCCGAATAAAGGTAGAAAATGTCTAAACTTCTTGGACCCAAACCTGAAAATAAAGTTAGCTGGGCGAGTCGTCCTAAAGAGTGGGTGTTTTGAATACTGACCTCCATCTTGCCTATGTCTAGCCTCTGCTTCCGTGCCTGTTGCTTGACGCTCATCATGACCATGTCGAGATCATCCTGGTCTCCCATGGTAATCATGTCCGAAGGCGAGTCCTCGTCGCGGACCTTGATCTTGAAACGTTTGCGCAGGCCAAATTTATCACGAATGCGGTCCACAAGGTCGGGGAACTCGACGGCCGCGCCAATCATGATATAGCGGACATCTTCCGCATGGACCTTGACTCGGATTTTGCGAACCTCTGGCCTCCTAGATTGACCTCGTGACGAACCTGATACTGAGCCCGTTCCTGGTCTTCGGTTCGAGATCATCTCAAAGTCTCCCTCGTCGAAAGAGTCGTAGTCGCTACCGTCAAATTCCTCCTCAATGTAGCGTGGCTGTTGCCGGCGAGCAGTCTGTCTGCTGCTTCTCGAGTCCTGGCTTCCATTGTACATGTCATAAACATCATCCGGATAACCATCTTCGTCTCTGGGCTGCTGTCGAGATCGGGGTGGATCCCGCTGTGAGTAACCGCGTTGAGGCGGCGATCTAGCCTCCGAAGCGGCTCTAGCAGGTGCTGGTCTTCTCTCACCAGGACCACTCTGAGGCGAGTCCGTCTTGGTGTAACTATTGGAGCGAGACGGCTGGATGTTGAGCTTGGCCGGCATGGGCTTTGGTCCGTTGCGCACAGAAGCGCCACGGCTCATCTGAGGCGGCTTATCATTCTCGGGCGGCGGGGTAGGCGGGAATGCATTGCGGCCATTGGGAGGCTCGGATTGCTGTCGTCGACTCTGAAGTCCCGGCTTCACCAGGTTGGTGGCGGCGAAGGAGATATTGTCTGTAGGACGATCATCCTTGTCGTTTGCCCTGCCTGCATTCTTGATCTCTGAACCGGCGAAGCCAGTAAAGGCATTGGCACGGTCCGAAGCAGCCACGAGACGAGCCTTGCCAAGGTAGTCCTTTGTCTTCAAATTCCGTACCTTGGCCTCGTTGGGTCTGTAGACGACTCCGACTGGGATGGAGAAAACAGTGTAACCCTAGACAAGTCAATTTGGTGGTCAGGCGCACGACAGGATACATGATGCTTACCTCTGCCTCCTCTCTGATGGCCTCATCAATGACATTGTGGTCCTCCACAACCTTTTCCTTGACTGCGTACTGTAGATCCTGGAGACCGGCATCCTTTTGCTGTAGGTAGATGTAACAAAGACCTCGATTGAACAAGACCTCGCAAGAGTATAGCTTGAAAAGCAATCCCAATTGTGCGTAATCGATCATGGTATTTCCTCTGAGATATAGCAGTGTGTCGTTGAAGTTTGCCAATGCCTCCTCGAAATCACCGAGCAGGAAATTAGATACACCCTCCTGGAAATAAGCGACGGCGAGGTATTGGTCCAGCTTGATTGCACGTTGGTATGCTTCGACCTAGTAACACATTAGCATGTGCGGGTAACCACTGTGTGGTCCATGACTAACAGCTTTCTCGTGTTCTCCCAGAGTTGCATGAATCACTCCCATGTTGAAAAGAATCTTGGAAGTATCGGCAATGTTCTCAAAGTCCTTGAGCGCCTCGTCAAACTCATTGTTGTCGTAGTGGCCAAGAGCCGTCACCCAAGTCTCGATTTCCTGGACAGATGGATTAGCCTCAAAATGCCCGTGATTCTGCGTCTCTCAATGGGGCCCTTACCTGTTTCAACGACATCTTGTCTTAACTGATGGCAAATCTGCCAGTGCTCGTCCTAGCCGAAAAAAGAGTATTGAACCTGAAGCAGGCCTGGAGCCGTCCTGCGACTATAATAAAAACCCCAACGATTTTCTTCTTGCAGATCGGAAGTCGGCGCAGTGAGTAGAGCAGGCCACTGACAACCTCGGGCGGTTAAAGGAGGGGCCCGACCCTTAATACTCTTTTTTTTTTCCTGGGGCCGTCTAGGTCGCCTAGCAAGTAGTAAGACAGAATGACCTCTTGGTCTTTTTTTTCCTCTCTCGAGTGGCTACTATAGTTCCCCGCTCGACTCGGTGTGTCTCTTCTTTGGAACCAACTATCGAGGCCTAGCAATGATCGAAAGTGGCGGTATGGGGGCGATTGCGTCCAAATAAGAATGCATCCGATTATATCAACACGACTGTTGGTAAGTTTTTCTGCTGACGCTTGCTCGATGCAGGTCCCAGAAGAAGGGTCCAGAGACTTGGGTTGTTGGTTCGGGGCGGATTTCAGGCGCTTGTGAACCCAGAAAATTCCAATTTTGGCGGGGGGTGCTGCTGGGTAATGTATTGTACGTCTGACTGCGTGCGGGTGCGGTAGTAGCGGCAGCAGAAGGTGGGAATGAATTAAGACACGCAGGCAAAGCCACGAGGACTAAGATTGATAACTAGTAGTTGATTTTTGCCGGGCGGAGATGCGATCGACTTTCGTAATCCGAATCACACAGATTTTCATCCAGATGATTAGAGGTGCGCAGCGGAAAGGACAGACTAGGTTAACTTGGGAGAAAATGGTGATGTGATCAAAAAGAGATTCCAGTCGGGAGGAGCAATAAGAGTGACAATAGTGAGTGGATGCAGGACGAGCCAGCGCTTGCAGAAGGGCGGAGAGTGGTTGGAAATTCGGAGGGCTTGTCCTCGGAGCGGTTCACACTGGAAAGAGAGAGTCGATAGCTCGTATGCCCAGGATTGCTTGGCCTTTCATCAGGCGGAAGGGGAGGGAGGGGGGAAAGAAAGCTGGCAAATCTGGTCGAGGGCTGGGGAGCTCGTACGTATATCATGCATACATAGATTGATTTGATGCGCTCGCTACCTGGGCGGTACATCACCGTCTCGTCTTCTCAACGTCTTTCTTCGTCCATGTATACCTACCTACCTACCTTGCCTGGGTATGGCCGGTCTACGGCAGTCAATGCAACCAAGACACCTCATCGCTTGTCGTCGAGGTGAGCGAGGGAGTGGGTACGGAGTAAGTAGCACGTACCCAGCAGTCATAAGCAAAACGATACCCGACGCCTGTGCGCTCCGCCGCGTATCAATGTAGACTTGTGAAGTGAGAGAACAACAAGGGGTTGGTTCAGGCCTGGCTGGCCCCCCGGCCACTCGACCTCAGCCGTCTTGGAAGTTGGATTCATGTTTACCATGGGGTAGAAAGGCACGGTAAAAGTTGAAATGCTCGTTATCTTGGTCATCTTGGTGGCTGGCGCTTAGCTATGCTAGATCATAACATTCATCGATCATGAGGTCGACATGTCATCCGTCGACAAGTTGTCTCCTCGAATGATGCCCAGCAAATATACGGCGCTCCAGCTCTCCCGCAAGCCCCAAAGCTTCCTCATCCACCACAGCCAATCCATCCCAACCACACTCTCAGATCATATCAAAGTACTGCCCTACAGGCCCATAGATACCTAAACCGCTAAACTAGAGTTATGCTAAGAATTACCCAAGCGTTCTGGAGTCTGTGGGGATTTCTGGCTACCTTTAGCACGGCGGCACCGGTAGCACAGGGTCGTCGTTATGTGCTATGACCACAAAGCCTCCGGTGCTATCATCAGTTTTAAAGAGCGATAGATCTGCATTGTATCAGATCTAGAATGACGGGCACTAAAACTACTGGATACATACATTGAGTGTACGCTTTTTTCTTTGATTCACAACACGTAATTGCCTTTGATCGTTGGAATTGGCCCTGGTTTGAATGGGAGTCCCGACTGCTATTCAACCAGACGACACTTCTTGGCCGTATCGTCTCGTCAAAGCCCCCGTCTCCGCCTCCTCCACGTCCTCCGCGTCCTCCGCCTGGTACTGACAGGATTCTGCCACTGTTCCTGACAAACTCAAATGTGCCATGGAGAAACATGCCCTGAAGCTGGTAAGAGGATCGATATCGCGTCCATCATCAGAGTAGCTCAATCCTGGATTGTGCCGTGCTCTAGTTTTGTGCTTTCTACTCAGATCTTGTTCCCTCCTGGAGTTGGCACGAATCAGACCCTGCAGCTTTCAAGCACCAAGTGTTCCAGGTGCTCGAGCTAGTTGATGATTGGATGTGACTCCTCGGCGCGGTAAGAGGAACCGGGAGGTTGTCCTGCAGTACGTCCGCTATTGGAGCGCCCCCGATGATCCATGGGCGCGTAAAAGTGTGCACACCGTCCTCTTTTTCTCCTTCTTTCTTGACAGCAACTTTAAAGTTGATGCCATAAAACATCTGTTGGGTCAAGAAGAGTTTGGCGGCTCTTGAATCATGCCTCTTTCGGAACGAATTATGCTGCTATCTGTCGACGACGGTCACTATCCGAGCGTTCACGACCATTTTTGTCCATTCGCAATGTTCCGGAGGTTTTCCACCACACTAAAGCTTTTTTGACTATAACCAGGCCGATCTTCAACGATCTAGATATTGATTACCTAGCACCCATTGCTACCTTGATATATGCAAGTGATGGCATGCACTGGCGCGTAGTGCGGCAAGCGTTGTTCATTCCGCAACTCCCAGACCACTAAATATATGTGATGTACACATTAGTAGACAGACGGTTCAGCATCGACCTTCTAGAGTTCCACTCATGCACTGAAGAAATCTAACCGTACATAGGCGAGCTTTTTAGCAGTTGCCCACGAGCCCAATAAAGACTAATATGCCACCACAAGCTCTGTTGATTCGTCAATTCGTGTAATTGAGCCAAGAGTCGTCGGCAAGCCATAGCCTGGAGTGCATGCATTGTGAAATGATATCCAGCATGTACGTATGCCATCCGATCACCATCCTGTAGTTTTCCTTCTCACTGGCCGGATAGAGCCACGTTGCTTCGAGAACAGCAACAAGCCGCTGCACTGCAACCTGATCCGGCATTTCATTTGCATTTCGTGTTGATCAGAAGCAATTTCCCGACTGTCAATCCTAGTGCTGGACTCCTTCCCTATCCGAAGAATCCGAAAAAAGAAGAAATACTTTCAAGGTTGCTTGAATCCAGCTTTGAGTCCCGAAACTTTGTTACGAAACTCCTCTGTCTTGGGTGAGTTTGAGAATGTTCAGTCGGTGGGTGGGGGGACCGATTCCACCCTATTACCCCACGAAACCACCTAATGGCCAGCACCTAACACTTGACAGTACCTTGGCTAGTAGCGCAATGTCTGTGTACTCTATCAACGGCTGTCAATGTTACCATGATCGTCACTCCAACTACGAATTGTGGTATCTGCAGAAGAGGGTTGCAATATTGATTTTTTTTTTCTTTAATTTTAATTTTAGAAATATTACAGCGCAGTCAACGGGTTCGACGGCCTCGAGAAATATCTACACCGAGTGTCGTAAGCATAACTATTTGTGCCAAAGAGGCATCGAGTACAACAATCATCCACACATGGAAGTGGCGCGTATCCAAGGCAGTCATGACCATTGACCCAACACACTGGAATTGCTATAGCATGACATACACGCGCATGGATTGCCTTACACACCTTGGCCCTTGGATAATAACATTTGCCGACGAAGCACCTGGGCGAAGGACCAACGTCTGATCTACACTGGACCCTGGCCGTCGATGATTCTAAGCCGCGTCCTCGACTGGATATGTCTTCGAGAAGATCATGCGCGCAGTGTCAGGGTTTCTACTCTCTACGCATGCACACACACACACACACACATCCATAGCTATGTCTTGAGCACGCAAGCATGTGTTGACAGGGCCACTAGGAGACAGCAGCCTCAATGTAGGAATTGTGTGTTTCGGAAATCAAACCCGAGATCCTTAGCAAATCTTGTGTGTTCTGCTGCCCCCACGTACGTCACAGAAGAAGATGGAGAAGAAAAAGAATGTTGCAGCTCGTCATCGGTATCACAAGATTGACGTCCAAGACGCGGAGACTCGGCCACGAGCTCGAGAACAAGTTGCATGTGTGCAAGATCGCTTATAGTGTAACTAACTGGTCGGCTATCTGTATAGTAAACTCTAGTGGCCTTGGACCTTGGAAAACTGATTATTGAAAACTCCCTGAGCTGGGACCAGAGTGTGTCTAAAACACCGGACAATGACCAGCTCTCGGCAGCCTCCGTCAACTGGTTTGGATCGTCTCAAGTCTGCTCTGAAGGGGGCTTTCCGGTCGCCATTCAGTGGGGCTCGTCAGAGATGTTTCGTCTCTGCCCGTCTCCTGGTCAAATTGGGAGGAATGAAAAGGTAGACCAGGGGATCTCGATCCGGACGTTTCCTCAGGCCCTGGGTTATATGTCCGCGGAAACCAGGACATGTTCGGATGGTTGTTAGCAACGGAGGCTTGTTGGATAACTCTATCTCTAGATTAGGCTCAGAGCCAAGCTTTCACGTCTCCGTGTCAAGTATATCAACTTCAAGATAGCAATCTCCACAATTCCCTAGAGTGAACCATTATTGGCTCGTGCTACAAGCTATAGTCGAGATGCTATTCTAATCTGTGTGGCCGTGTGTCAGTATCTACTCCGTCATTGGCTTCCCTTGACTATGCCACAAGATTGTAGTGCAACTTGTATCCTGTTCATCACATGTTTGCAGCGACGATTCAAAAATCATGCAGAAGAAAAAAGTAACACTGCGACATACTAGTCAAGTCTGTGCGGCTTTGACGGTAGAATTTGGGGAGCTGTCTTCTCTCGCATATTCCCTCTCAGAAATGATCCGTCTCCATAATGTAGCCCCCTGTCACGCAGGCGTTCTGTCAATCTCTGAAAGGGTGCTAGCCAGCCAGTACCGTGGGTAAGTAAGGCTAAGCTTTGCGCGCATCTTTCCCCTCCATCCCAATGCCCTGTCAGCGGGCTGCGTCGCATCACTCCGCGCTGCCACGAGGAAGTGGCCTGATTCTTGCATGTTGGTTGTCGATGAGTGTTGGCTCGTCGCCAATCTGCCGTCGTCCCCTTGCCTACAATCCCAAGCAAGCAAAGAAGTCTAGGGCATTCATGGTTCCTAGGCATACGTATAAGACTGGGACGCAGGCCACCCCTCCTCGTTCGACAATCTCTTGGAATCGGACCATTTGGAGTGGTGCCAGAAGAGATTGCGCCGTATTTTCTTGTCCTTCGGTTCTCGGCCACTACATTCCAACGGCATGCCGAGTGCTCACCAGTCAAGACCTCGATCTTTTACGGATCCTTCCAAGATAATGGGGTACATGGGGTAAACATCTTGGAGAATCCCCAGAAAAGCGTCAGGCATAGGGCGCGAGGAGCGAATACAGTATCATGGCCAACACGTTATAATCCGCTCCAAGCACTCGGCACGTATCAGGTCACGACTCGGCATTGTCAGCTCACAGATATACGATCTCGGCATCATCTCGCTATGATAATGTACTGGCACAGACGTCACCTGATATCCTACTGATCTGATCATACTTGATGAACTTTCGATGGCTGGCAATATCGTTCTGTAAAACAGATGACTATATGGGTGATCTGGCGCCATTAGATCATGCCTTTTTGAACCTCATCCTTTCGCTCTTCCCACAGCGTCTTGCCCGTACATGAGCAGACGGTCTTGTCGTTATCCCACATGCCGGCGCTTCTTGCAATCACGCCTACGACGGTGTTCTCGTCGTTTTGTAGCGGACCGGCAGCGTTTTCCTCCTTCTGCACCACCATGGCGTGACCAATAATTTCCCAGACTTGAAAAGGGTGGTCCACAAACATGGATCCTCGTCCGTTCTTGCCAACGTCCACGGTCCCCAGGAGACCCCGAGGCTCAGTCGTGGCGTCGGTGCTCGCCCAGACCGGTCCGGCGGATGCGGCACCGTCCTTGAGATCTCCGTACTCGCGGATGGAGGCTTGGTATCTGCCCGCGTCGACGCCGCGCATTGTGATATCAACCAGGGTAGTCTCGGGTGACACTTGCACCATGCGGGCCAGACCTCTGACTTCCCGCTGCTTCCAGAAGCCTCCCTCGCCATCTGGGAGATCTGCAGGCGCAGGTCCCTCACTGGCCTTTTCGTGATATGTTTCTAGGATGCATACTGCAGCGCCTGTGTTGTTTGTTAGAAGAGAAAAGTATTGACAGGACTTCCCTCCAGGGTGGGATGACCCGGATCATTCCGGCAACGATGAATGAAACAAACATAAATACTAAAACATACTGTTCGATGTGCCAGAGCCTCTGAGAATAGCATCCCTTCCAGTTGCCTCGATAGCACTAACAATCGCTGAGGGTGCGGCTATGGGAATAGAAGTCAATGTTTGCCTTGTTGATTATTTCACACCACATAGTAGCTGGGCCTTACCAGTCCCCTCAACGGCGACGAGCTGGTCTTGCAGGTTTGCATCGACCTTGGTGATGCCCTCCAGGCTGTACAGTGAATCCGAGACGGACTTGACGCATGATTCACATGTCATGTGAACTGCGAAAAGCGTCTGATATCAAACGTTTGATCAGCACATGCAAACACACAAAACTCCCAAGAAGAAGAAAGCTTCTAGAAAAGGTCTCAATTGCAGCTGAATACTAGCTGGCATAGCTGAAAAAACATACCTGGAAAGGCGTCTTGACCTTTCGGTCTACAGTCATGTTGGCTGCTGGTGCTAAGAAACTTCGCTTGTGATAATCTCGGTGCAGGTCGTGAAAGTATGACGCAGTGAATAAGCCGAGCGAGACGGATCCAGTAGTGGTAACAAATGTTTTGAATGAAATATTATGAAAATATCTCAGCATAATTCACTTGTTCCAAAAAGATTACTGGAAACAAAGCAAGGTATGGGGTAACTGCTACTTGGTTTTGTTTTTGGCTGCAACTAGAACTACCTATTGGATGGCTGCCCAAATTTCCAATCAGATGGGGCTATTCTCGGTTGCTTTGAAATCGCCTCCATCACGAACATTCCGCACTCGGCGGTGGAATCCGATGGAGGGGGGGGCCGCTCAAACGCCATAGGTACCTAGGTAATAATGGAGGTTTCATACCAGCCCACCATCCATTCCAGCAGCCAGCTTGGCCAGCTTAGCGGTTAGGTAAGCCTAGCCTAGCTGCCGTAGTTTATTACCCGTCACCTATCAGCACGTGACACTGTTCCTATCGAAAATTTGGGGACCGCGCATCTCAGGTAGCTGGTAGGCGCATATCGTGACTTTGGTATCTCGCGAAACGTCAATTATTCTGTTGTGCCGGACGACCGATTGCTAATCTCCATTGTGAGAAGGGAGACGGAATCTACTCTTATAATTTTGGGTGTTAATTGTCTCCTTGGGGATCGGTATCCCTTGAGCAACCATCATGTCGCAAACCATCGGACTGGTAAGCAAGCTCCCCTTTCCAAACAGGCACGAGCAACAGCTCTTACACCGTCGCTCGTGGTCGGAGTCAATCAGTAAACTAATCTACGGCTACAGACGAAACTCTCCTACTCTAGAGTATGGCACCATGTTTCCGCATCAGCGATGCACCCAACCCTCTCCACACAACCGGGCGTGACGCCGCCCTCGCTCGGCCGCCTGGCATCGAGGATAGCCACGATCCTCATGGGCAAGCACAAGCCCATGTGGGACCCGTCGACCGACTGCGGTGACTACGTCGTCGTCACCAACTGTGCAGCGCTGCATACGACCGGCAACAAGAAGTGGCAAAAGACCTACTACCGACACAACACGCGGCCGGGCTCTCTCAAGAGCGTCACCATGGATGTGCTCATGGCCAAGTTTGGCGGCGCCGAGGTCCTGCGCAAGGCCGTCAGCGGTATGCTGCCCAAGAACCGCCTCCGTGACAAGCGCCTAGCCAGGTTAAAGGCCTTTGAGGGCGACGCCCACCCGTACAAGAATAACTTGATACAATTCGGCGGCAAGACTGTGGGCCACGACGGATGGGAGGAGGCTGTCAAGGCAATCAGGGAGGCAGACTCCAAGAAATTATAGAAAACCTCTACGAAAAGGCTGGCAAGAGATATTGGAAGCGAAGGGCGGAGCACAATCACCATTCATACGGAGAAGGAGATGGCCCGCTGTTCGTGGCCACGAGCCCTGTACATTTGACTGTATTACGATTTTGCATCCTGTATACTGGAAGACATCACTAGGTAAAGTGAAAATTACGTTTCATGCATGTTACTTGACGTTCTTATATTCTAAGACAATCCGTGATGGGACTGCTGGGTTCGATGGGAGAGATGGGGAAGCGTCTTCTGGCCAGGCTCTAAATCATTCCAGGAGCTGTGTAACACTAACTCGAATTCCGCGAAGCATTTTAGCACTCAATCCGACGTTGAGAACAAGGTATGCCCGAAGAACATGCATGTGCAGGGGGCCAAGGCAGAATTTACAGGCGAACCGGCGTATCATAGGCTTGAATTGGCAGACGTGGTGTAGTGAGATTGGGCAGCCTTATCGACCGCAGTCTGCACTCACTGGCCGCAGTGCACCACTACAGAGGCATGGCTTGGGCACTGCCTCGATACATGTCGAAAGGTCAGCCGGGCTTTATCGAATGCAACCAGGCTCTGCTTTCAAAATCCGTCGGCTACCCCTCTTTTTCAAGAAAACCACTTCGCCGTCCGACTTACCTTTGTTTTTGCAAGCATGGCCGATCCACTGAGTGCAGTTGCAAGTATCATCAGTATTACTGATTTTGGGGTCAAAGGCGTCAACAGCCTCAGACACCTCTATCGATCGTACAAGGATGCACCCAAACAGATGGAACAGCTTCGCAACGAGGCTCCCGCCCACTGGGCATTCATGATGCAATTGGGCCAGGTATTTGATGCTGCAGCAGAGATGGGCGATGACGACTTCAGCCGCATGATTTTCGAGCTCGGCGAGCAGGGCAATACATTTTTAAATGAGATTGACAAATTGCTCGCAAATGACGAGCAACTCGACGCCACAACCCGCCAGAAGCGAACACGGAGGGATTTCATCGGAGCTAAATTGCGCCACTTTGCCAAAAGGTGCGAGTTGAGATCCAAGCATCGTCTTGCTTTAGCACAAAAGAAAAACTTTGAGAATTTGCGTGGGAGTATGAACTCGATCTTGTTGGCACAAAGCACCCGGTAAGTCTGTGACCATTGCTGATCATGAGAGGCGTTCAACGCGAGCTGGTACTCAACTTCTCGACAGTCAAACCATGTCCAAACAACGCCTAGCAATCCTCGATGAGAGGACTACGCGATCGGAAGTATCGAGATCAAGCAGGCTCTCATTGGTTGAGACATCCTCGAAAAGGCTCTACAACACTCCTCGATGCTCTTCCAGTTGTGTTTGCAATTGTCACAATCACATCAAACGATTATCAGCCCATGTACTTCCGAATAGCATGCAAGGTATCTGGCGAGCCATGATGATGGCTTCATCCCGAAAAAGTCATCTCAACTCCTACTGTCACGACTGCCGATCTGTACCGCGAGCCCAAGTTGCCAGATTAGTCAACTGGCGAGTTCCGAACTGGTTTGGTCCTCTAGTTGTCCAATTCTCCGTGAGATACTCGTTAAGGCGCGGTCTGAGTTGTAGACTGAAAGCCACGCAGAGAGTGGTGTCTCTGGTGGGTGACATCTTCTGGAGTATCCAAAGAAATGACATTGAACAAATACGATCACTGCTCAAGACCAGTCCAACTGTAGTGAACGACCAATGGGACCTCGGTGGCCACTCGCCTTTACATGCGGCCGTGCATTTGCAAAACCCTGATATAGTTGCGTTGCTTCTAGACCACGGAGCAGACACGGCGATTGAGGATGATCGGGGCATCGACGCTGCCTTAGCATTCGCAATTCATGCATTCAAGGGATACTTCCCTAGGACAGATCATTATGAGCTTCATAGCAAGCTATCCATTGCCGAAGGATTGGAGGATGCAACGGAGTATCTCGGGTACGGAACTGTGCACAAGATAGTACTCAACCTACTGGAGACTGATCTTCGTGAATACCTCGAAGATCTCGAAGAGAACGAGCGACTCGAGCAAATACATCACGCTGATGGATTCGGCCGAACCCCATTACACTTGGCCGCGAGCCAGGATGATGCCGAGGCCGTCGAAATCCTCTTGTCATTTGGAGCGGAACTAGAAATACGAGACACTGCTGGCTTTACACCTCTAGCCGCCTTGGCAAGATGCGTGAAGGGCGCGAAATCCTTCAAACTTCTTGCTGAGAAAGGTGCGAATATTCACGCCAAAAACACGCATGGTGATTCCATCATACACGTCGCAGCATACACTGGTTCATTGGAACTCATCGAGCAGCTCTACTGGCTTGGTGTTGATATAGACACCCTTGATTCTAGAGGTGGAACTCCATTGATCTTGGCCGCCATTTATAACCAACCCAATATTGTTGAGCGTCTGATCGAATGGGGATCTGCCATGGATGCCGTCGATGAAGACAATGACACAGCGCTCATTTACGCGATTGAAGTTAACGCACATGAGGTCATCAACTTATTGCTGAGCAAAAACGCCAATCACCGTCACGCCAATGGATATGGCCGCACTATTTGGCACTGTGCCGCTATGGCCGCCGATGCAAGGACGATGAAGATCCTACAGTCTCTCAAACCGAGACGAGAGGACTTGACTTGGCGGGACAAGTTCAACCGAACTCCATTCGACATTCTGTGCAGACACTTCCGCGGGCGACAGGAAGTTTGGGACATGTTCGAACGCTTGAGCAAAGAGGCCGATACATCTCGAGAAGTTACGGAGGAAGCCTGAGACTCAAGATTGACCGACGAAGGAATTTCAGGGCTACCACCTTTACATACTTGTTAGATCACATGAAGTTACTTTGGTATCATGTACTCGATGAAGCGTAATGATGAATATTCAAGTCTTTATTAACCTTGGTTTCTCTAGTCGTGCCTGCTATCCATCTCAAAGATGGTACAGGCAACATAGACATCATGAATAATGCTGATGATATATGTTAAAAAATTCAATGCTAACTCGCTTTCAATAAAAAATGATGAACAAATCTAATCTCTTGTAACTTCACACTTGATCAGACCATTGGGTCCCGATTGGGGAGCGTAGACCTCGGCGTCCTTGCCAGTGTTCTTGACGTCCTTGTGCCATGCGAGATCTGAGAGGGTTGTGTTAGTGAAACTGTTTTACTATGTTTTGCACGATGGAACTCATTTGCCACTTACCGACTTCAAAGTAGTGCTTGTTGGGCAAGGCGTACGAGACGGCAGCCGTCTCGGGCACGGCCTCGAGAATCTTTTCGCACATGAGGTACATGGTGTTTTGCACCGAGGGGCTGTTCTCCTCGGCAAAAGTCTTGAAGGTGATGTCCTGAGCGGCCTTGTAGGCCTTGTCAAAGGCGTCGACCTTGTCCTTGACGTCGGCGACGGTGGCAAAGGTCTTCCAGGTCCAGGTGGCGTCGACCGAGGTCGAGAGGATGCGGTCCCAGGTCTCCTTGAGAGTGGTGAACTCGTCCTGCACGTAGCCGTAAAACATGGAGCCGGTGCTCTTGAGCACGAGCAGGTCCTGGATGGAGGACTTGATCTCGATGCCGGCGCGGGTGACGCGGGCGGCGACGGTGCGCTTGTCGTCGCCGTCGCGGTGGAAGCTGTGGGGGTGCGGCTTGCCGTCGACAATCATGCGCGTCCACTTGTGCTTGATAATGTCCACGTTGGCGGCCGAAATGTGCGAGTATGTGTCCAGAAAGTGCTGGCCGAGCATGGCGGCAAACTGCTCAATCGGGTTGATGGGGTACTCCTTGGCCTTGATGAAGATGGTGTTCTTGATCGAGTCCGTGGCGACGACGGGCTTGTTGTCGGCCCTGGTGTACGACTCCTCGATTTCACCCTCCAGCAAGCAGCACACGGTCAGTTCTGTGACCTCCTCGGAGCCATCTGCCAGCTTGTCGCGCTTGAAAACGCGGACATTGTCCTTGCCATAGCGGGCAGCAGAAAGACGAGCCATTTTGATTTAGAGGATGAGTGTTTTACTCTTTCCTGTCCCCTTCTTGGAAATATGCAGGTGAAATGTGTTCAGCTATGCTAGGAAACACAATGAATAGAAATCGTGGCGGTCTTTTGAGTATCTGTATCTCTGCTTTATTATGTTGTAAGAGATGGATAGGCCAATGAGGTGTCCAGATTGGTAATGCGAGTAGCGAGTGATGTCTTTGGGGGGTATCAGATGATGGTGTTTTGTCTTTGAGGTAGAATGGCAACAGAGAAAAGGGAAATGGAACGTTTGTAGACTACGAAGGCGGATGGCGGTATTTAAGTAGAGTTTACATATTGCCCCAAAAAGGCTTTTTCTAACACCGGACGGAATTTGAAAGCGAAGCAATCAAAGGAACGCAAAGCGAAGCCCGTTGGCCGCTGGTGACCGAGACCTTAGCATTCATGAGAGCGCCGAATCGCTGGGAGCTTTCCGGATAGGGCAGCAAACCAGCGATAGACAGGGCACGGAGGACGCCGACCACCCGCATAGGAACTTCACTAACACAGTGGACGGCCCATAGCAACGGGGCGGATCGGAATCGTCCAGTCATACGAGGGCAGTTTTTAGTCGTGGGCGATCCCTGCGGAGCCACGTGGATTGAGAAGGACTTTCTCATACAATCATTTTAATCTCATACGTTTGTTGTTGTTGGTTGTCAAGAGTTATACATTGCCTCTTTGAGCTGAACGTTATACCTCTCTCGCGAACTTTACTGCACAGGGGGTACTAGCTGTATGAATCAGGTACGTAACCCGCCTTATTATTGCATCTGACCGGAGAGCTGCGGGGCGGACGTTGCAGCCAAATCGGCCGGAAAGCTGCGGAGAGATGCGGGGGTCTTTCACCTTGCTGGCCAACACCAAATCATCCTTTGCAGGGCAACCACAGGAAAGAGGGAGAGGCAGATAAGACGAATGCAGGTGGTGATGCAAGAGCCTTGACAGTGAAGTGACTTGGTGGCATCGTACGACTCATTGGACGCTCTGTTCATTAGCCTAGCGTATGTAGGACCAAATACGATCGAGTCCATTGTCCTGTACCTGGATTTGTCCAATCCATCATTGATATGTGTACGTCAACGTAGTACTTGGGAAGTGCGCAGACCTCCTTTGAATTTACTCATCCTTTGCCCAGATGCTCCAGTGGTTCCTCGATTTGGAAACCCGGTAGAATAAAAGAGGTCTTGCTGCTGGTCAAATTTGATTTTTCTCTGATTTGCCTGGGCGGCCTGCATGGTTTTCTGCCATGATGGTGTTAGTCTCGTGTGTAGCCATTCTGAATAGACTTGTCCTTTGCACAGCTCGGGAGGCTTGCATCTAGATCTTGAGGCTATGTTGTTTCGGCATAACAAAATGTAGGATTGAATCTTGTTATTAATCGAGGGTTAGGTGTTCTACAGATATCAAATTGCCGTACATGGTGCATAGCAGCAAGAATAGAATACTTCTTTTCCAGTCGCTGTCAGAGCAAGTCAAGTAGGATACACGCTTCTTCGGTTGATGCCTTGCACAATCATGTATTAATACGCCTTTTTAATCGTAAATGTTATGCAAATGAGTCACGATCACTGTATAAATTAGTTTTACTCTTTGATACATTTCTACATTTCTACATTTAGTGGTAGGTGAAGGACAGAACAAGATTGACAACGCGGAATATACAAAATATGCTGCTGCTAGTAACAAGTGGTAGCCCCGCAGTCTCCCGTCTTGAAGCTTAGGAGATCCCAAGGACCCATCCCACTTGGTTCGTTTGGCTTGGCCTTACCCCTGCGCGTGTTATTCTTGGCATGGAGCACAGATCCCAATCCTGAATCGGCCTCAACCTGGTCTCCGAAGTTGGTGATGATAGCAGCCAAGCACAGTCTGGCAAGCGAAAGCCAAACCTGATCTGTACGATACAGTTCTTGCATAAACGTCAAACGTCACAGATTCGAGTAGCGGCGATATATACCTGCCAGACGCCCTTTGCGCCGTGGTCTTGACTTGGCAATAACCCAAACAATCCGAGACACCAAACCCCACGAGGCAACAGATCGTGTCTCCTCACGACCTGGTACAATTGGCAGTTGCAGCATCGACGCACAGCTCGGTAGCACATCTTTGACCTGAAAGTCGACAACGTACGCCAGACACGATCTTGACCATTCACAAGCGACAAACTGCGCCGTACGTTCACGCAGCCCTGCAAGGCACGCTGCCATTCAAGCGCAAAGTCGAGCCTCCTCAACCCGACCAATCTTGCTCAGTTCGACTGTACGAACGTAGGTGGGACACTCGAGGCACACCTTCCGATTACGTTAAATTCCTCTCGAACGCCTTGAAATATTCTTGGCCAGTCAAGAGGAGGAAGCAACTCGCGCGCGCCGGGAGTTTACCGCAGTCAGTCTCGTGGGAATCTGGAAGTCTGCACTGAGCGATACAAGCTGGGGCGACGAAGCGCACAACCACTGTCAGTAGTGTGAGCCGGCGACAAAAGAAACGCCGCGGCACGGAGGGACTGCATCTTGACCAAAAAAAGCCAACCAAACCCCGTCTGGGAGTCGGCGCACATCCATCATTACCGCCTATGCGAAATCAAATCGAATGAGCCGCTCGTGGGTAACGTCCCGGAGGGTGGACATTGAATTGGGACTGCCACAATGCTGAGCGCAAACACAACACCGACTCAAAAGTCACACACACCACAGCCGCCATCCTCGTTGACATCCTCGATAGCGACGGGCCGCCCGAGTTTGGAACGAGATGGGCTTCAACCACCAGGAGCCACAAATGGAGGCAAAGGGGGTTCCTATGTCTCCAGGGGCGGTTCATCTTTTGTCCCTACTCCGGCTCCGGGCAGCTTCAACCCAGACGTGCGTAGCCAGGCAGCCTCCAGAACTGGTTCACGTGCAGACATTTTTGCTCTAGAGAAGTTGGATGAAGAGGAGATTTCTCTGGCTGAAAAGAACCTGAACCAGCTTAAAGATGCACTCAGTCGTGAGATCAAGATCCGCGATGGTAGTGAAAACATGCTAGAAGCTCTGAACATCAAGAAAGCGAAGCAGACAAAGGATCAAAGACAGAGGATCGAAGCTGAACTCAACACGTCCAATCAAAAGATCAAAGAACTCAGGACCAAAATTGACGATATACAAAGGGTCAAGGCTACCCCAGCTACTCCTACCAGAAACCGCACCGAAGGCTTGCTCGCTAGCAACGGCATCCGCTCTCCACCAAGCGCATCACGCAGCGGTGCTGGCTCTGATCTCGACGAACCTGTGGAACAGTCACCAACTTTTGCTCTTGCCGAGATCCTACAAGCGCTTGAGCAGGAGGGCTTGACAGCTGCTTATTATGTCGGACGTGCTAATAGCCTCGTGGAGCTCTTCAAGAAGCATCCTACGCTCAAGTATGATTTGGTCTGGTCCATCTTTGGTGACCGGATGCAAATGATGCTTCTCAGTGATAGCAGAGAGGTTGTTGCCGCCGGGTACCGCATGATCCGCTATGCTATTTCGGATGTGACATCCTTGAAAAGGATCCGGAGCCTCAATACAGATTACATGGTAGTAGTATCATTGGCCAAGGACCGAAAGGCTGATGTTGAACGTGAACAAGCGTTGAAGTTTGTGCGCGCCTTTCTCGACGTCAAGGATGGTGTCCGAGAGATTTCACGGGCTGTTGTGCGCACCATAGTCGCAGTTGCTGAACACTTGGAGGATCGCTTGCGGCCCATATGCATCGAAACTCTGGCTGAGATTCTGCTCAAGGATCCTGCTTTGCTCACGGCTTGTGGTGGCTTGGCACCTTTGTCTGAAGCCCTTGCAGAGGGGACGTATAAGTCTCCTGAATCTTTGGCATCTGCCTTTTTGTTTCTACTCAATGCACCTCATACCCGAAAATATCTTCGTGCAGGCTATGACCTGGAGGTCATGTTCACTGCATTCACAGATGCCTTATTCTCCGCCGAGGGTGTTGTGAAACAAAACTCCAAGGCTGTTTCAGGCGCTTTAAAGTCATGGTCAGGCCTGATGACGCTATCCATGTTTGACTTTAGAGCGATCAGGGCACTTATATCTACACTCTCTCTGCCCAACACGGCGATTCGCGAGACGGTTATTGACATGCTCTTTACGCTTTTGCGAATCAAGCCGCCTGCTTGGGCAACGACATTTCTAGCTGGAAGGCGTTTGACCACTTACGGAAGAGTTGCCAGCCTCAAATCGGCCACGACCAAGACTGGCGCTTCTTATGACGAGGATAATGACGAACAAAACTTTGTCGAGCATTACACATCCTTATTACTGGCTATATTCGTCAAGGCTGGACTGCTACCAAGCCTCCTCGTCATTGCGCAAGAACCCGATACAACTTTGCTAAAGCGAAAGGCAACACTGCTTATCGGCGAGGTGCTGAAATTGGCAGGTCGTTTACTACCTCCAGCTTGGAGCAGCCAACTACAACTACTTCCTGAGCTATTCTCAGCTGCTATAGAATTCAAGGACACCAGTCGCTTCCACGCGACGGGTGTGGTGTATCAGATCAGCAGCGTCAGTCGCACGCTGTTCCGATCATCGCCAGCAGCTCTTACCTTACCCGCCAGCAGCGCTCTTGACCATGTTGGCTCTGTTGAGGACACACCCAAAAACAGTGCTTCAATAAACACGGATGATGCAACCTTTCGGCAGCTCTTGATCGACTCGGGTGTTCTCGGAAGCTCGAACCCCATAAAATGGAACTGGGATATCGTTCTGAGGATAATCGAAGGCCCTCTCACCAACGGCAAGAGATTGGAAGAGGCTATCAAAGCATCCAAGTTCGTGAAGAGACTGATGAGCTTTTACCGGCCCTTTAAGTATCGGTTTTCCGGTACCAAGAGTCATCGCAATTCTCAGAAATATATCAGAGTTGGTTGTGCTTTGATGCACTCTCTGCTTCAATCACCAGAAGGCAGAAAATACTTGGCAGACAACAAGCTCTTGCGACAGCTTGCCGAATGTCTTGCCCAATGTGATCCAGTAAGCCGAGCAATGTACTACAAAATTTGTCTTGATTTGATGCTGACAAGGAATTCAAGACCAGCGGTTTAACAGCGCAACGTCCGATGTTCTCACCTGATTATCTGACTGACTTCCTTTGCGGTGGCTATTTCCCCATGCTGGGGGTGCTCACAGGAGACCCCAACGGCCTACAAATGCTCGAACGGTGGCGGATATTCAACATGATATATCACATTGTTGATTACAACCAGAGACCTGACATGATCAAACTAATCCTGGCAAACTTTGATTATGGTCTTCAAGGACATCCCCGCGTGTTGCTGTCCAAGGCGCTGACAGCAGGAACCAAGGAAATCAGAATACATGCCACGAATGCGTTGAGGTTGTATGCCACGGGCCAACGAGCGCCGTCATCCAGCCATATCGTGTCTGATGCGAAGTGGGCTATCCAGCTCCTTGTCACTCAGCTCTATGATCCCGAAATCGAGGTCTGTGCTACAGCTGTCAAGATCCTGGAGAAGGCCTGCAATAGCAAGCACTTACTGGAATATATCGTGGAGTGTCGTCCTGCACTGGATCATTTAGGAGAGATTGGAGCACCTCTACTGCTCCGTTTCTTGTCCACATCTATCGGATACCACTACCTGGACGGACTCGATTATATCAGCAACGAAATGGACGATTGGTTTCTTGGCCGAAACGACAGCTATGTCAGTCTTATAGAGGCTAGTTTGGCTCGCTCATTTGTCGAGAATCCCGAGGACCATTCCGGCCGACTTAGTCTTTATGAAGATGAACTGGACGCCGACCAGGATAATCACATCCCACCACACTTCTACCGCGAGTTGACGCGTACCAAGGAGGGATGTAAGCTTCTAGAGGATAAGGGACACTTTGAAGAATTCTCTACAACAATCCGCGATTATGGTATGTATTCCAATGACCCCGAACTCATGGTCAAGGTCAAAGGTTGCATGTGGGCAGTGGGGAACGTCGGCTCGATGGAGCTCGGAGCACCTTTCCTCGAGTCCACAGATGTGGTGGGCCAGATTGTCAAGATTGCAGAGACGCATGAAGTGATGAGCCTACGAGGAACCGCCTTTTTCGTGCTCGGCCTGATATCCAGATCCGTTCATGGCCTTGAAATACTCTCTGAGCTGGGGTGGGACTCGAACACCACGCCTTTGGGTGTGTCACTCGGCTTCTGTCTGCCAACCGATATGTCAAAACTTTTCTCTTTTCAACCATGGGAGCATGTAACTGCATCTTCTGTGGTGCTTCCGGAGTCACAGAGAACCATCATCGAGGCACCACCGGCCGTCATGAAAGATCCTGATGAGACTAATCAGCGGATCCTGGAAATCATGGTGGAGCTGGGCAACATAGTGCAATACAAGAAAGCAAAGATGGAACTGCTGCAACTCAGACACAAGAAAGTACCCGGCTTTCGACAAGCCAAACTCTTCCGCCGCGTCTTGTCACTCCTGGAGAATCACCACTACCGGCTGAGCGATCGACACATGGCCATTGAGATGTTTGACAAGAGCGTACTGAGGCAGATTGTGTATGGCGACGAGGAGGGTGAAGAGGAGGTTGAAACCAGTTCTGGTGACGAGGGAAGGACAGAGCGTCAGAGGAGTATTAGTGACCCGGCCGATTGGGAGGGTACAAGGGGTCTGACGCAGAAATTCTCCATCTGAGGCTACTGGGGCCGGGCGTACAAACCCGTGAACAATGGTGTAGATATATGGAGGAGAGAGGGAGGGAAAGGAGCGTAAAGAGTATTCAAGTGAGCAAGAAGGGGCAGCATCATGCGTACACATGTGTCTGAGGGAATACACATCTAAAGGCATTCGAAAGAGGGTGTGGCTCGGCGTTTTGAGAGCTTTTTTCTATATCACATCGTCTGTTCTAGTGCGATCATGATATCCAAAGGAATCTGGCGAAACATTGGGCGAGGGAGGGGGAATTCATGGATATTTAAAGGTGGTTTACACGAAAGAAAGTCTCGTCACTTAGGCGTTTTGGGGCGTTCATGGCTGACATCGTGAATGGAGACGATGCCATCGGCGATGCTCAGTTACTTAGCAAAAGATTTGATTTTCTCTGGCCCGGTCAATTGGTCTACTGCGATGCAATTGTCATCTGTGAAATGCTACCTGGTGCCTCGATTGTGATTTCACATGAGAATTATTCATGTCGAGTTTGGCATGATTTGCATTTACAAATCTTGTTCTACTTTTTTATCATCTATGCAATTACTCTTCATCTTCATCTCCTTCAGAATCTAAATCCATGTTCAAATGAACACTTTCGTCATCGCTATCATCGTCGTCGTCTTTACCGTCTGCCGCCGTCAACTGCCCAGCACCAGCAGGAGCCGACTTGGCCAGCGTGTCCTCGACCAGGGCGCCCATGGTCCCGAACCCGGGGTCGGGGGTGTCGGCGGCAGCTATATCCACACGTTTCGAAGCGAGTAGGGCCTCGGCCTCTTCGCTCTTGCGCTTGAGGGGCACGGTGCTGCTGGCGGCGGCCAGCGGCGACACGACTGCCGGGACGAGCGGCTGCGGCAGGAAGGGGCTGGGCTGAATCTCGGCGGCAATGGCGGGCGCCGAGGGGGCCGTCCGGGCGACTACGGGTTCCGACATGGTGGCTGTCTGTGTCACCGAGGCGGTCGAAGTCACCTGGAAGGGGCGGTCAAAGGTGAAGCCGTCGGCGGGTTTCTCCACTGGCACTTCCGAGTCAATCTCCATGTCATCATCATCATTACCAGCGTCCAGGGCATCGCCCCCCCTGGCGCCACCGGCAATAGGACGAAAGTTGAAGCGGAGAATCTCGACGGCCTCGTCGTAGGGGAATTGCTGGTGGAGGTAGGGGAGGATGACCTGGGCTGTCCTGCCGTTCTTGTCCTTGGCGGGGTTGAGGATGCTGGCAACTTGGGCGTCCTTGATTTGGCACAGGATCGCAGTCCGGAGCATGCGAGACCGCAGGTCAGGATTGATGTGTTGCTGGGGCAGATGGCTGAACAAGGCCGTGAGCAGTCTTTCTGCAGCGGCCACGTGCTCTGCGTCAAAGGACACGGAAACGGTCTCATCTTCGGCGTTGGACTTGAGAAAGGCATCGGCGTTTTGCGAAGCGGTTCTGGATTTCGCTCCGTTCTGCCCGGTCGTGGAGGTCTGCTGCTTTGGCGCCTTGAGGTGACCCCCAGCGCCGAGCAAGTCACGGCAGCATGTCATGGTGACAAGCTGTAGCGCATCGACTTGCGGCTTGGATCGCGTTGGGCCGCTCAGCTGGAGCAGATCAGTGATCAAAGCAAAAGCTATGCTGCGGACTTCGGGCAGGCGATAGCTCGAGTCCATCATGCGGACAACTTGGTCCAAGGTGTCTTGGGCCAGAGGAATAAAGTTTCTTCCCAATCGCTGGGCGAGGACTCGAGCGAATTGCAGAATGGCGACTTGGACATCAGGTAAGACTGCCCACAAATCATCCTTTTCTTCTCTGCCGGCAGCCGGATTTAGCTGAGTATACTCGCTCTTATCTTTCCCAGCGACGGGAGGAATAATCAGCGACACACGCGCAATCATATCCGTGGCAGCACTGATTGGAATGGTGACGGCGACTTTCGTAGGGCAACGGAGACAATCGGCCAAGCTAGCAAGTAGACCCATCATGCGCTCGCTGCCAGCTAGTATGCCTGACCATTGGGGTAGCTGCTCTGCAGATGGACTGTCATTGCCAGGCTCGGCATCGAAGTTGGGCGCCTGCTTGTTGTGTCCTGTAGTGGACTCCCAGTTCTCAAGCACAGCTCGAAAGACTTGGTCGGCGGTCTCGTGAAACTCTTTGATAAGGCCTTGGAAATGCTTGGCCCACTCATCCGCACCGCCATTCTTGGCTGCTGTCATATGTAGCCTAGCAAGTAGCTTTCGGCTGCTGCTTTGTAGACTTGAGGGGACGAGTTCATCGTCTGAGCTCGTTGGGGCAATGAATGGCCTTGTGACGGAACGTATTTGTGCGACGGAAGGACGCAGCGTCGTTGGGTAGAGAGGAATCAGCACGGAGAATGCCTCAATGACGGTCTCAGTAAAACTCAAGGGAATTTTGACAGCTGCTTTACTTGTGCTGGCGGGCTTCACAATCTGTAGGCAGGCAGTGGCAAAAGCTGGGAGGAAAGGCGTGACAATCTCGCGTATCAAGGTTTGAAACTTGTGCGCAAGTGTGAATATCCTAACAAGTACAATGGCACATAGTTCCTTGACTGCTATGGGGTCCCGTTTCTTAGGAGGCGTCAGTTCACTGGCTCCAACATAGAGTAAATGATGGAACTGCTCTCAACTTACCTGGAGGATCGACACAAGACCTCTCACCCAGGGCTCAGAGACACGCAAGGTTTCCCATCCTCCCACTTCAATGTAGGTCTTGATCAAGGCGACAGCAGTAAAACGGCCCTCCAGACTCCGGCCATTCAGCAATGTGCCGATGTGGGTTCGGAGCTTGTGCACCAGGACGGCAGCTTCAGACGAGGACGATGTGGTCTTGGCGTCCTGCGGCTCAGACAGAGGTTGCTGGCAACGTTGAAGATCCTTCAGCAAGGAAGGAAGCAGGCTCGGGAGCTGTTCAGTCTTGGCGGTGGTGAGCCTCCTGCAAATACTGCGGAGCTCTGGTGGAAGAGAGACCAAAGACATTGTTATGATTATGAGCTGTGCAGCTGAGCAGAGAAAATCTTAAGCTTTGTGCAGAGATTTATAGGTTGCTGGATTTCGTGAATGACCAATGAGTTGCAGAATTCGTAGAAATTCTGGTCATCTCAGTCGGTCAAAAAAATTCGGTGCGTCTTCACAGACCATATCCCACAGCAGGTAAAATACTCTAGATTGTAAGAGGTGCAGATCTTTCTCGTTATCTGAATCTTTCAAAGTCTCTGTTGTTGCGACTTTGGTTTTGAACTTTTTAGTGGGTCCGGGGACTGCATAAGGTCCATCCATTACGGATGGATAGATAGATACACTGCAATGTGCAAGTACGTACCGAGTAGTCCCTGTACCTGGTTGCGTACATTATAATTGGGTCTATGAATTCCACTCATCAATGTCCATAAGCAAAGTCGCTGACAACAATCATGCCAAAGTAGAACTACTACAGCAATGCAGGCTCACATGAATGTTCACTCAATCATCACTTGAAAGATCATAAATTTACACACAATCTCGGAATATCTCTTCATGGCCCATTGGAACGGGGATGAACCAATGAAAAATTGTGATTCCCATATGCAAGTTAATGTTTTCCCTGGCCTTTTTTGTTTTTTTAATGTTTACCGCCGTTGGGCCAGCTGCCAACCGCCTGTCGCGTCCCCCCGAGCTCCAGCTCCGTACCCAGTGATCCCAGCATGTGGAAATGGACGTCACTTCCCTGCCCCTGGATTGCGTCGATCTCGCCCAAGCTATTTCCCATAAACGTTGGCCTCAAGTCGCCGACAACTTGCGTTGGCCAGAGAAGGCTTTTGATTCGCTTTGTTTGCCCTTGATTTGCTTGCCTGCGTTGCGACGCCCTTCATCATTTTGATCACAGACAGCATCTACTTCTTTTCCATTCTGCTGCCCGCCGCCGTCCTGCGTTTTTCGAGCATGCTAGCTTAGGCGCATCTTCACTCCCTCCAAAAACATCTGCCGCTCCTTTAAACCCCCTTCATAATGACGGTACGCCGCGCAATCCTCCCCTCTCTCTAGGCATGAGCAGACATGCTCGGCGACCGACGCGAATGATACATCAGACAAATACTAACGCCCAACTCTACTACCCAGAAACCATCCAAGGCCGAGATCTACCTGTCACAACTAGAGAATTGTCGCTGCGAAGACAACTGGGACGCCGTGCCCGAGGCGGTGCGCAAGATTCGCAAACATGCACCAAACAGACAATGTAACACACTACCCACCGTTCTGACTTCACCGTATCATTGGCCATAGATGGCTAATTCGAGCGTCACATAGGTCTTGCGACGACTGCCGAAACTGAATATGCCATCATCAAAGCCCAGCTGAAGCAGACGGCGCGTCCTGCCACTGCAGTCTCCCAGACGGACCTCGATATCACAAATCTTCTCCCAAAACTTCTCGAGGCAATCGAAAATGAGCACACCTTGCAGGAGGACAAGTATCAGGCACAAGTCTGCGTAGGATGGCTGCACTGGGCCGTCGGAGAGTACAGCATTGCCGTAACCCGTCTGCCGAGTGTTTTAGAACAGGATCCCGAGGAAGTCTCAGAATGGACCCGAGTCTGCACGCTCAAGGCCGCCTACCTCAAGGCAAATTGTCTTTCTCGGGACAATGAACGACTCCAGGCCCTCGCTGTCTTTGAGGTCGCCTTGAGTTCCCTGACAAGAGTTTGGTCCACGCAAAAAGGTCGCAAGCAGCTACAATTCTGGGCCGAGCTCTTCCTGACCGAGTTCTGCATGCTGCAGTCGCAGGCATTGGAAAGAGGCGAGAAGAGCTTGGACGACTCGACAGTTCTGGCTCCATATCGCTCGTGGGCACGCTACTGGGAGACTTCCAAGAGCCAGGGCACTCCTCTCGTCGGTGGTCACGGTTTTAGAGGAGCTGTGCCGAGAAGAAGGGTATGGCGCGAGTATTACACTGCTCTTTCTGCCATCCTAGACCAGGATCTGCCTTTCCCGACCGCAGAAGTGCCTACTCTTTCAAACGAGGCATCGGCACGGAATCAGCTGCGTATGGAATTGAAAAAGGTCGAGGCTGCATATGAGGCGCTTTTGCTGGACGAGACCCCGTTTCCCCGCGCAGACGAGGAGCGCGAGGAAATTGAAGCCTTTGTCGCTCTTGTCATGAGCAACTGGAGTATTCTGAATGGACGCGACTGGCACGAACACGATCTTGCTCATGGTGGTAAGGACGCCCTGAGCCGTGGTATCCTCGAAATTCTATACCGAGCCGCGACCAAGACTTTTCACTCAACCGCCATTTTGCGTCACCTCTTCACGGTGCATCTTGCTGTGGCTGAATTTGACTTGGCCCTCAAGGCGTTCAACTCGTACCTGGAAATTGTCAAGAAGGGCAAGGCTCGCATCGACAAAACTGGACACGCAGAACCTAGCCTTGACGATGATGCTACTGTGCTCGAGACCATCTCGGCGGCTATTTCAGCTCTGTGCAAATACGGTTTCCGCGAGGAGGCAGAAGCAGCCTACGGTCTTGGAATTGAGTTGGAAGAAATGTTACAGAAACTACCAGCACCGATGCCCAACACTGCAGATATAACATCGTTGCCCGAGGAAAACGCTAATGGCGTTGTTCTCCACCCACGTATTTCAGCAAAGGCGAATGCTCTGGCGTGGCAAGCGATTGGTGTATCGCAAGCTCAGTGGGCTAGGATGACATTTGACGCTGCTTCCAGGACGGAAATACAGGGTAAGGCGATTCGAAGCTTTCAAAAGTCCCTAGCACCAGACACTGGAAATCCAGCCGATGTTCGGACTCTTTTCACTCTTGGTCTCCTCCTGGCAGAGCAGAGAGAGTTGTCCACAGCCATAGATATCATCAAGGCTGCTCTCATGACCAACAAGAAATCAACAGAGTACATCCCGGCGGCTGGCAGCCACTGGCATGAGCGTTCCCTCATTCCACTTTGGCATTTGTTGGCCCTGCTTCTCAGTGCGCGTCAGGACTACGTCATGGCCGCTCGAGCTTGTGAGGGTGCTTTCGAGCAATTTGGTGATCCGGCAGTACTGTTTGGAACTCAGGGGCTGCAGAGTCAGTTCCGAAGCGATCACCTCAACGAGCTTGAAGCCAAGAATGGACATGGCAAACCGGGCGCTCTTGTTGACGAGATGGACGATCTTGAAAAGGAGAATATTATCGAGGTCAAGATGACCCAACTTGCGCTTCTAGAGCTGCTCGAAGGCCCAGAAGTTGCCGTCAACGCAAGTCACGAACTGCTTGTTCTGTACACCAGACTTTTTGGAACTATGCAGACAAATGCCCCATCGACAACACAGAGGTCTCTCACCGTTGCGCCTCCGAAAAGCTCGGCAGGGACGTTGCGTAGTTTTCGAGGTAGTGTTTTTGGAAACCGGGGTAGAGCTTCTAGCAGGCTGCGAGAGACAGTTCCTTTAGAGGAAGAGACACCAATGTCACCATCAGACCGACCTCAAACTGCTCAGAACCCACCATCCACTGCCGCTCCTGTCACTGCCGCCGCCGATGCGCCCCCAGCTCCTGCTATACAAATCACTCGAGACAACACGGATTTGTCCGACACACGCTCCCGCAAGTCCACCGGAAGTGTCCGGGGGCGCCGAAGTGACTCTGTAAAACGGGGCAACAGTCTCAAGAAGCGCGATGCCAGCAGCCAGCAACGAAGAGCTGCAAGCACAAGCAGACCTCCAAGCCAGCGGGCACACCAGCCAACTATTTCTGATGGTGACGCATATTTCACGCCTCTGGGAGATGCCGCAGCCACTGACAGGCCAGACTTCTTTGATTGGAAGACCAAGAGCAACATCTCTAGCCAACAGTCTTTCTCAAAGGGGAGAGGGTTGCTCAGGTACGATTCTACAGCTTCTTCGTATAAGGGGTCGACCACAGGCCCGGAATCCTTTACTCTGGATTCTCTCTCACCACCAATCACATTGCCTCTGCTTCATTTCCCCGCGGAGCAAACAAAGAGACAGCGACAGACGATCCTCGTTAAAGTATGGTTGATGATTGCAGCATTCTACAGACGTGCGGGGGTGTTTAGTCAGTGCCAGAACGCCATCGATGAGGCCAAGAAGATTATTGAAGCCATGGAATTGGATATTGCCAAGGACACGTCTGGATCTGTTGGAATCAGTCACCCTGGTTGGGGTGGTAAGAGAAGTGTCGAGGAGCTATGGGCTGATGTTCACTCGGAGGTATGCATTCCCTTGGTGCATTTTGCCCACCACCTTTAATTACATACCACATCATGAAGTTCATTTACTAACATTGGTCCAGACTGGTTCCCTCTCAGTTGCCGAGGGTATTCCATACAAAGCTCGAGCCGACTTTGAAGAAGCTTTGATGCACAATGCAAACCATCCGGCTGCCATTGTAGGATTGTCGACGATCTTGTTGGACATTTATGCCGAGGTCCTTTCGCCTGCGCCAGCCATTCCAGGTATCGCAGAGCCGGACGGGCAGCCAATCAATATTGATGATCCAACAGCAACACACGAGAGTCTCGCATTGCGATCAAAATCTGCACTGGCCCTCACTGCTCTCCCATCCGGTCCATTAGGACTTGGCGGAGAGGCGACGAGTTCACCTGCAATTAGTGGATCACCTCCCAAGCAGCAGCGGAAGCCATCCCAGGCCGTGTCGATCGAAGAGCTCCCAGCGCCATACAAGGCAAAATCGCTACCTCTAGTGGACAGACTTGCTGCCAGAGATCGGGCATACGGTCTGCTGTCGGGCCTCACGCGACTCGGCACTGGCTGGAACAACTCGGATGCGTGGTTTGCTCTGGCCAGGGCTCACGAGGAGAGTGGCCAGATGGACAAGGCAAAAGAAGCCCTTTGGTGGTGCGTGGAGCTGGAGGAAGGCAGGGGCATTCGCGACTGGAATAATGTTGGCGCAGGTCGTTATGTCCTGTAAAGAAGTGCCAGATGGTATTGAATTTTTGTCATAGCAAAGATACCCACATCGTCGGGATAAGCGACTGTTGAACTGGGAGGCCCTCAGGACACACACAAAAAACAGAATCCAGTAATGTCTTGCAGACTTGTGTCTACCAGAAAGGGACTGGCAACTGCCGTGAACTTGTAATTGTGCAAAGATGCGGCACCGGCACTTTGCGTTGAGCTTAGAGTACTGTCAAACTGTCCGTAGTGCTTACACCTGACTGTTTATCAGGCTCTCTGCGAGCAAAGTGTTTCAGCGACTTATTGAGCGATACCGTTCATTCATCCTACTCAAGATGCACTCAGGGTGCGGCTCTATTGTGCGACTGCGTATGCTTTTATGCTCCTTTCAACCTGCTAACCATGAGGGTAAGCTCAAGGTGTGGCCGGGGCCAAGGGCCAAGAGTCTATAGTTGAATTTTGCAAGCCAAGACTGCCTAAATAGGCATTTATACCTTCCTGCAAATTGTTGCCAGATGAATGTTATACTCAGCCACGGACAACTGGACCAAGACTCTGGACACTGTTGTAATAAAACACATTGCGCGAGATATGTGGCGGTGTTACTTTGAAGCTCAAGCAGAATCTCGCAAGTCATAACCTCTATATTCTATGATCTACATTATCTTACCAATCTGGGCCGCTCGCATTGGTCAGATACCCCGACTTTGCATCTGCTGTTTTGGCTTGCCTATTTCAACTAACCTACCCCATTGCGGGGGTTGGATATGGCTACTACCTAGGTGATGATATAGTGGGAAACGGAGTAACTGCATGTAGACTTTTTTTTCTCACTTCTCCGCACCTTCACATCGGCTGTTCTTCCCCGAGGTTATGGGGGAGTGGATCAAAGACCAGTCAAGAAGACGAATGAGGTTGTACAGCATCGTCGAGGACTGCAGATTCGAAGATGCAAGTCCCGCGACGGGAATTGCCCGGAAAATACATTGATTCGCACAAGCTCTGTTGGTCATCTGAGGGTGCGAGCAAAGGGCCTACCTGCCACTCGAGTCATGATCTTTCCTTTCATTCTCTTTACAACTTGACTAATCATTATCGTCATATACAAACGGTGGTACACGACTGGCACATTGAGCCGATTCATATATTCGACCTCACCATCAATCGATCAGCTTGCTTTTCATCAAGTCAACTCGGCAAGACAGATAGACACAAGACCCTGCACACTCAATCTGGACAGGTCAAGGTGGTCATCTCTTATCGCTGTGACTTCGCAGCCAATGTCACCGTGTCAACGAATTCACCCCGTCAGACTACCCTGATCGGCAGCACGACACCGCCGCAAACATGGCTTCAAGTTTACTGCCCACCGATGTGTCGGAATACCAAGCATTGGAAAAGAAGCTTGTGCGAAAGATTGATTGGAGGCTCATGCCAGTCCTGGTGGTGATGATCGTTCTCAAGTAAGGGCAAGCCAAGCTTATCGTTGCAAAATATCATCTTGCGTTTCTTTTCTATGTGTCTGCGCTCTTGCTAATGTTGGAACATGCAGCTATCTTGACCGTCAAGCACTCCCCAACGCTCGTGTGCAGGGCATCGAAGATGACCTCGGCCTTGCAGGGGACGACTATAATGTGGCTATATCGGTCTTGTTTGCCGGATACATTGCCTTGCAGATTCCATCCAACATGATTCTCACTCGAGTACGGCCAAGCATATACCTGCCTCTTTGTATGGCTCTATGGTAAGTCTTTGTCTGTTGCTCTGTCGGTCCTTTCTGGCTATATGGTCCAGACTAAACATTGTACAGGGGAGCCGTATCTGCATGTACTGCTGCAGTGACAAGTTTCCATGGCCTAGTAGCTTGCCGTTTCTTTCTCGGCTTTCTCGAAGCTCCCTTCTTTCCTGGTGCGCTTTTCTTGTTGTCGTCGTGGTACACGCCCAAAGAGCTTGCTACACGGACGGCAGTTCTCTACACGGGCAGTCTCTTGTCCAGCGCCTTTGGCGGCCTGGTGGGCGCCGGCGTACAATACGGGCTCGACGGCGCCCACGGACTACACGCCTGGCAGTGGCTGTTCATCATTGAGGGCTCGGCGACCGTCTTCCTCTCGCTGTGCTCCGTGTTCCTGCTGCCCGACTTCCCGGGCACGACGCGGTGGCTGTCGGAGCAGGAAAAGGCCATTGCCAAGGACCGGCTCCACCGGCACAGCGGCAGCCAAGACGAGGAGCGCGGGCCCGTCCTCCGCGGCGTCCGGCTCGCCCTCGCCGACTACAAGGTGTGGCTGCTGGCCGCCGTGGTCATCACCAAGACGACGGCCGCGGCGGTCACGTCGTTTGTCCCGACCCTGGTGGCCACTTTTGAATTCTCCAGCGTGCAGTCGCTGCTCATGACGGCGCCGCCGTACGTGTTTGCCGCCATTGTCGCCATGGCCGTCAGTATCTCGAGCGACCGCCGCGCCGAGCGGTACGGCCACCTCGTCGTGCCCCTTGCGGTCGGCATGGTGGGCTATATTGTTGCGGCGTCCACGACGACGCTGGCGCCGCGGTACTTTTCCCTATTCTTGATGCTCGGGGGAGTTTACGGCAGCTTCAATGTAAGCAGCATGTTTTCCTAGAAGAGTCTATCTTTGAGATTTGGCGGTCCCGTAACTTTGTCTCGGGAAATACCTGCCTACCTAGTAGCGGTAGCTCGAGAACTTGGTGGAAATTTCTATACAATCATGAAAAGATTTGAGAGGCTAACACATTTCGACGCACTAGGTCACGTACGCCTGGATATCGTCGACGGTATGAAAACTATTTTCTTATATTTTGAACTCCATAGACCGATCCTTTTTGTCTTGTAGTTCTGGCTGATTATAAACTAGATCCCGCGTCCACTCGAGAAGCGCGCGGCGGCATTCGCTTTTGCCAACATGGTAGGCAATTTTGCGCAAATCTACTCGCCGTACATGTACAACTCGTCCACGGGGCCGCGCTACCTCCCGGCCATGACAGCCAACACCGTCTTTGTGTTTGCCTCCATCTGTTGTGCCACCGTCTTGCGATTCTGTCTGGTGCGCGAGAATCGCAAGCTCGACGCTCTTGAGAACGTTCAGGAGGACGACGGTGGTAGTCCCGAGAAGGGCGAGCTGGAAAAACGCGACGAAATTGTCCAGGAGAGCCGAGTCGGTCCCCTTGCGCTGAGTCCTGGCTTCCGATATACTCTTTGAAAAGGGTACAACGCCAGTCAACTCTTTGATCGTAGGGAGACGTGTAAAGCTTGGCAAAGAGGGTGCATGTAAATGATGATAGTTGCAGAATGAGATTTCAGAAAGAGCACAGAAAGGCTCGTGGTTGATACATCGGGAATGGTGTATTTTCAGCTGGTTCATCAGACCTGAGAATAGATGACATAAGCTATCACAATTCCATTTTGATCATGTTGTACTTTTGAGCGAGTCTAGGGGTCGAAATAAACCAGTCAGGCGGTTCAATTCCCCCCCCCCAAGGCCGATTTATACTGGCAAAGTTCCCAGAAATCGGTCTCGTCAATAAGTGTATCACGGGCTTGGCGCAAAGCTTTGCAGGCCTTGAAGTCAGGGGATGAGATGCACATTTGTCATTTTTATAGTCGTGTCCTCAGGATCGGTTCATCATAATTAGAGGGCAAGTACAAGCCTCTTCACTTGGAAACTGATGTTTCTTTTTACTGTATTGTTTTTCTTGGCCTCAAAATTACCCAGCCCATTATCTAACGCCAACAACTTTACGCGTCCAGCTTGAACAGGTGAGGCTCCTGGCCACGAACACCGACATCGATTCGGAACAAGCCACCGCTAAAGTCGACCTCCTCGGGGGTGCCCTGGCCCTCCTCCATGCCGGCGGTGGTAATGAAGATCTCCGTGCCGACAAATTCGACGCAGGTAATGTTGCGGGTCGGCATCTTGATGCAGCCGATCAGCTGGCCCTTGGGCGAGATCTTGAGCACCACGGCGTCGCCGTACACGGCGCACCACATGTTGCCCTCGACGTCGATGCGGTGGCCGTCGGGCTCGCCCTGGCCATTGTACATGAAGAAGATGCGCTCGTTTGACACGGCGGGCCCTTCAGCCGTGTCGGCATAGTCAAAGGCGTGGATCACGCGCGACGACGAGTGCGTAAAGTACATGGTCTTCTTGTCCGGCGACCAGCTCACCGAGTTGGGGATGGACACTGGGCCCTTGACCTCCAGGCCGGGGTCTCCGGCGTGGAACAACCACAGGGCACCTAGATCCATGAACATGTCAGCAAAATTTCTGATAACTGTCTATCAAACTTATATGACGGGAAAAGAAGAAACCAATGTAGTTTCTTCTTTGCTTGTAGATAGATTGCAACGAGACCCCATCAACTGGGACCGCAACAAAAGAAATTCATAGGCGACCAAGGTATATACTACTCACCCTCGGGTTGCACGGGGCCATAACCAAAATCCGTCATACTGCCGAGCCAGAAGCGGCCATGAGGATCGACAGCACCGTCGTTGCCACGGATGCGCTCCTTGTCCTCGACGTAGAACTTGGTCAGGTACTCGTAGCGGCCCGAGTCGCGGTGCAGGATGGCGGCGCCGTGCTTGGCGCCGACGAGGATGCGCTCGCGCGGGTCGACGCCGGCAATGTCGGCCGTGACGCCGACGCGGACGTCGAGCTGCAGCGTCGACAGCGACTCGGGCCCCCGGTGCAGGTCCACCGTGTGTATGCGCTTCTCGATGATGTCGACAAAGCGCAGGCGGTGGCTCGCCTTTTCGTAGTACGGCCCCTCGCCCAGCGCGCAGTGGAGCTTGATCCACGGCTCCTTGATCTCCCACTCCTGCAGCGATGCCGGTGCGGCGGCGGCGGCGGCGGCGTTTGACGACATGTTCCTGACCTCCACGTCCTTTTCTGCTGACTCCTTTCCTTTTGCCTGCTGCTGCTGCTGCTGTTTCGAATTTTCTTTCTGCGCCTTCTTCTTCCTCAGTCCCAAAGTCTCCAAAATTCTAGTAAGAATCCTTGCCATTGAAGAAGGGAAAGAAAATCGGTCCCCGTTCTTATGAAGCAAGGCTGGCTCTGGGTCCCGCCCGCGCCGTGCTGCTCCGGTGGGGATTGCGGGCGGTTCTCGGAGCGGATCGGTTCGATTTCAATCGAAGGTTTTCGGCACGCATCCGAAAAAAATTGCATCGATCGAGATTGTTTTTTTGTTTTTTTATCTTCCTTTTGGAATCCACTTGCGGGATGGTGACGCGAACAAGGCGAAAAAGAGAGATCAAAGCTTTGCCTTTAAATAGCTTGACTCTTCAATGCAAACTTTCGCCCCGAGACCTCACATTGTGGTATAAACGACACGCTTCACTACAACTGTGTTCTCTTTACATGCACCGGAATGCGGGCCTTCGCTCCGCAGTATCGACATTTCTCCGTCGTTTATATGTTCATTTCCCGGAGTTTTCGGTTCAATGGCAAATCAGTGAACTCGACGGCTATATTGAAGTATATTCATTATTTGTCAGGGGTTTCAAGCTTGTAGCGTAGAGGGTTGTGTATTTTGTCTGGCAAGCATGAAGAAATAGATACGATTGAATGGGCGGGCTCGTCACTACTAATTACGGGTGCGCTTGTATGAAGGCGGTAAGCCCGTGGCAGTAGTACCCTGGAGGCACAAAATAGTTTCATTGATGGGCCAGCCCCCGACGTCGTTTTGAAGCAGAGCAGAGCATAACAAGATCAAGACGAGAGCGGACAATGAGAGTGCGACTGCATGTTCTGATGTCTAGCAGGAAGAGTCGACGGCAATAGATTGGAGCCATAGACGCGATAGAGCCCACCCCCAAGTGTGGTGACCTGGCAGTCTATTGTTGGTGACGAACGAGACCCATAAGATACACTACCTACTACATACTCCAGCTCAGCACGATGGAGTCTTTGGGGGGGACGGTCACGTAGACGCCGCACCCTCCACCTCTTTTGCTTCCCTTCCCTCCCCACTAGCAACGTGTTTCGTTGCGTGACGTGACCAGACCGCAAGTTTGCGCCGCGGCCGCGGAACACCGGAACCTGTGACGCGGGGTCCCAATAGTGTTGCATTCTTCCCAAAAAGGTGTCAGTCAGCCAGCGAGCGATTCCCAGCAACCCAGTCAGTTTGGTCCAAGTCAGGACGCCGTTCAAATGGTTCTCGCACGTATATTCCGTACCGTCGAGTGAAATACTTTAGCAAGTGGAGCTCCTTGTTTTTGGCGTATTCGTGTGTGCGGCCATGGCTGACCGCTCCGTCCTTGTTATTTTTTTTTTTTTCCTTCCCACCCTGTCTCTCTCTCTCGCTTCTCTCTCAGTGCTGAATCAAAGAGGTACACAACGGCAGGAGCTCATCCATCTTTGCATGGGGTGACCGTGACAAGCCAGAGCCAGAAATTGACAGGTAAGATTCTTGAGATTTCGTATGGACGAGATGGTGGTTGTAGGATGAGACAAAGGTCAAGCCTTGCCGAACATAGGACCGGGCTGAGGAAAGAAGGGACAGTGTCTGTACATGGATGCCCTCACTTGCGGCATCCTCGCCCACTGATTTTTCCGCGACTTGCAACAGGACTATTGCAGTTGGTACATGCCCCCAAAACTCAATTGCAAGCAAGAAGAATTGCCGACCAGTTAGTGTTACTTGGGGCCATGTATGTATATGGGGGGGCAGACTTGGCAAAGGCCTTTTTTCTTTTTCCAACCCAGCAGCTTGGAAGGATGCCGGCGATCGCGTGGAGGGCCCCAATGCAGCCGGAGCCAGCCCGCCCAGGAATGTATGTACGGATTACCCTTGCTTGGACACTACTGAAATGTAGTACACACACTATGATACGTACGTGCAGCAATCGCAAGAGGCCGCAACAGGGCATGTCCTTGGCTGACTGGCGCTTTTTGTATCGCATCTTGCCTCCGTGCGAGCGAGAGCAGAGACGAAGGGAGAGACGGAGGGAGGGAGGGGTACGGTACTCGTGCCGTCCCGCATATCTCTAAAAAAGGTCACTACGACTACTGTAGCGTAGTTGGTTGGCCCCAGTGCTGCTGCTGCTGCTCCAAGATGATCTGCGCCATAAGTCTGAGGTATGTAGGTACTTTACCTAGGAACGCATGCCGCGATTGTGCCCAAGTGCAGCTGATGAGTACCGTTAAGGTAGTAGATATTCCATAAACTATAGGCCGGTGCTGTGCAATGAGGCAGTAGTAACTCTGTCTAGATTAGTGAAGTCGACATGGACAGGCTTTTAGTACCTTATATCTGAACCTACATTACCTTCATAGGTCGTGTGTGTACCAACTAGGTAAAGTACCTAGCCAGGGAATTCGTAAAAGGGAATAAGCCGCCTTTTCCAGGCTCCCTCATAGCCCTGGCGACAGTTGCGAAATTTTGAGGCGGTACGTAGTAGTAGTAACTGGCTGCTGCATGTGATATCGATGAGACGTTATGGTCGTGCGGCTGCGCGTGTGTGGTGGTAGTATGTGTGTCTACCTGGAAATGGACGCTGGTGACCACCTGCTCTATGATGATTTTACGTTGTGACACGAAGCACGACTGCATGGAGGGTAGGTATCCTTGGATTCTAGCTGAACAATCATTTGTGCAGTCTGTAGGTTTCGGCATCAACCTCATGCCTTTAATAAGCGTGCTTCACTTCATGTGCCATTGGGTGCAACATTTGACGAGGTTTTTTTTTTTTTTTTTTTTTTATAAAAAATCAACCCATACGGTCGGCTGGGCAAGCAGCTAGCCAGCTACTGGCATTGTCAAGTACCCGACTCTGAACTGGTAGATTCACCATAATCAGAAATGATGAAACCTTCTTACTTGTTTTCGCGTATTCGGAACAGCAGGTTATTGAATCAAGCCCTGTCTATAGTCCAAATAACATATAAATTATGAAATTGAAAAGACATGGAATCAATTGTTGCTCATGCCAACAGGATGATGGGGATTCGGGGAAAGTGGTGAGCTAGGGTCATTGGATGAGGATGGAGACTGCCTAGCCGAGCCAGCGGTGCAGCGAGAGATTAGCTGCAGATGGTGACCTGCATGCCATAGTCTTCTTCTTCACGTCGTAGTGTCATCAACCCTCCCGTCTTTTTGGCTCTGTGGCTCTGTGGCTCTGTGTTATGGCCTTGGGTAGGGGTCGTTCGGCATCCGCCACGGACCCAGGGCACCGGTGTATACGCCCTGTCAACGATCTTCGTGATCATCGGTTGTCGGGAGACCTACAGCAAGTACCCTACGGTACTAGACAGCAAGGGCGCAATCTGTCTAAGCGCTTGCCTACTCGTGATGATCACTGTCGTGGTGCATGAGAGGAGGGTATGTAGAGTGGAAAACAAAAAGCAAAAGAAGTCGTCAAAGCCGTCAGAAGGATGGGGAACGTCATTTTGCTTACCTATACATCACCTTGGCAGGCCTGTGGCCATCATGTTGAGCTTAAGGATCCCACTGCAGCGGGGCCTGTATGAATCTTGTGTGTTTCTGCAGCGAAGAACCGATGGAAGAGTGATGACTGGAGGTGCGAAACTGGAGCATGCCATCATCAGGGATCTTATTCCATGACCATGGCGTAGAACCCACGCCGAATTAAAATAAAATAAAATAATAATAATTCAAAGAAGCAATAGCAATAGTAATGGTCCATGGTTAAAAAAAAAAGATTTGTGCTTTGACCCTCCCTAAAATCCCATCCATGCCCGCCCACGTCGTCGATGGCCACGCCCACGCCCACGCCCACGTCCATACCTACCGCGCCACGAGCAGGGTTTGCTGTCCACTCATTCCGGGTAGCAATGCCGCTGCTAGCTCGATGCCCAACGATGTGATCCTCCTGGCAGAGGGCCGGGGTGGCGTGCGATGAGTGCATGGCAGGGACGGAGTCGGTGACAGAGGTACTCTTCCTCGTCTCGCTCGAGATAGAACCTCATGGAGCCGCATCCGGAAGGTCTGCTTCTTTCGAAGTTCACCTTTAGTTTGGGGGGACGCGGGATGGAGTGGGCGAACGTGGGTTGCAAGGTCAGCCACAACCAAAGAATGTCCCCAATGTATTGGTCGCGTATTACAATGCCAACTGCAAGTCTGTATATTCCGTACGTTAGGCTATTGCCCGCCGCCCACTGCGGATGAGATGACGTGTTGCGGCTGCTTTAGCTAAACGGGACGGCTCTTGTAGGGTGCTCTGACCTCGACCACAAACACAATTGCGTCGGTGACCAATCGGGCTCAGAAACAGATCTTCGGCGGTCTCGCCAAAGGTGATATTCTCCGCGAGTGGCCAGCCAGCCAGGGGGTA